ACCTGAGTTTGATTCCCGGCTCGAGGTGACCCTTTGCTGACCCTTCCCCTCTCTCTACCCCCAATACTTTCTTGGCTGCAACCTCCACTGTCCTATTCAAATAAAGACGACAAACCCCTTAAAAAAATAAATTCATCAGGTCAGTGTAACATGTTGAATCCTTTGTGAAAATGTGAATATTATGTAATGTGTTTCATAATGCCGTAAAGGGATAGTTCACACAAAAAGGGAAAATTTACTCATCCTTAATCTGTGATGTTGTTCTGTTCAACACAAAAGAAGACATTTTAAAGAAAGCTGAAAACCTGTAACTAGGGCAAGACAGAATCTGCGGACGCTTTTTTGCTATTTCTGCAGAGAATTTTGGTAAAAGTCTGCGTATTTCTGCGGAATTCTTTTTGGAGTATCATAACTAAAACCTTAATATAGGATACAAAAAATAATATCTTTTTAACTTGTATTTAATGTTTAAAATGCAATTCAATTAGATTCACTTTATTTGATAAATAAAGCAAGTTTGTCATATAATATTTCAAGTAAAAGACAGAAAATAATACTGTACAAACTCCATTGTACATAAATCAGATGAACATTTTTACATTAGTCAACAATATTACTGAAATTTATTTTTAAAAAAAACTATAAATAAAGATTTACACACATTTACTCAAGTAAATAAACAGAATTAATGATGGGCTGAAAATCTGCGGAATTCTGCGAAAAATCTGCGGAATTCTGTGGAAAATCTGCGGAATTCTGCGGAAAATCTACGGAATTCAGCGGAAAATCTGCGGAATTCTGTGCCCACAGGTTCTGGGTGGGCCTACCTGTAACCGACCTCCATTGGTGGAAAAACAAATGCTATAGAAGTCAATGGTTACAGGTTTCCGACATTTTTCAAAACATCTTTTTTTGTTTAACAGCATAAAGAAATACATAAAAGTTTGAAACAGGTAAAAGATGAGTAAACTGACAGAATATATATATATATATATATATATATATATATATATTGGAGTGAGCTCTTTCTTTCCTTTTGTAGTTTTTAAAATAAAAGTGAATACATCATAAATCCTTATTTTGTATCATTAGAGCCAATTGTAAAAATGTCAATATGTGCAATGTGTTTCATAATCCCATTGCTTGCCCTATTATATTTGATACAGTAATAATTTTTAAAGGGATAGTTCACCCAAAACAAAATTATCTTCTTTTGTATATACATCTATGAACCACTGTGTTTTGACCAGTATTTGCAGGTCATTAAAATTCAATCACAGATCAGGAAAAGCGGACCCACTTTATATTAAGTGACCTTAACTAATATGTACTTACACAGGAACTAATACTTTGTTACAATGTAATTATTGTGTAAATACATGTATTTATTGTGTACTTATAATTGTTTAAATACCTGTATGTAATTACATCTGTAATTAACTTTTGTAATTACATTTGTAAATACACTGTTGACCATCCCTTACACCTTAACCCACCCTTAAACCTACCCATACCACCAAGCCTGTCCATAACCCAACCTCTATCCCAACTCAAAAGCACCACAAGTGTTCTCAAATACATTATAAACACAGTAAGTACATTGTATTTATTTTTTGATGCAAGTGCATAGTAGTTAAGGACACCTAATATAAAGTAGGACCGAAAAAGCTCACAGCATTAAAATTGTGACACTATAAAACATTAAGACTGAAATAAACACACACTATGGAGAGCTATACAGCCATCTAGTGGTTACACTTTGACATTACACAGGTTTTTTATTTATTTTTTAACCAGACGGGGCTAATCTGCCTCCTCAAAATTGTATTTGAATGGAGAGTCTCTATTCTAATTATAAATACTGCACTAATTAAAAATAATCAAAGAAATAAAAATAAATAATAGCATATAATATATATCTGGTTAATTTAAAAAAAATCCCTTTGTGTTTAAGGGTGACAAAAATGATATTAATTACTGCATGAATATTTTTTTAACAAAATCTTCTCAAAATCCTAAATCAAAAAAAATATATTATAAAAAAATAAAATAAATAAATAAATGATTAAATAATTTTCCTGAAAAAACAATCATATTTGTGTTTTTTAGTACTTGTGATCCTGGAGATCCAGAGTTTTAAAGCTGTTCACTGCAATTGATAACTGTTTATTGTTGACTGATTGACCTATTATATGGAGGATGAAACCTGCAAAAACACTAAGTAAATAAATATGCAAATAAATAAATAAATAAGTGAAGTTTATTTATAAACTAATTTCAAGAGGATCACGTGCTTATGATTGCTTGTGGCCGGTCCCGCATTATTCAGTTTATGAATGACCAATCAGATGATTCCTAAGCCACTATAAATACCCTGACAGCCACATGACAGCCATCTTTGTTTTGAAGAATCCCCCCTTCCACCCCTACTCCTCCTCCTAGATGGGTCGCATGGTGGCACTGTTGCTTCACAGCAAGAACATCACTGGTACTAGTCCTGACAAGCCAGCCGAAGTTTCTGTGCGGAGTTTACACATTGTCCCCGTGCTCACGTGGGTTTCCCTCAGGTTCCCTAGTTTCCTTCCACCATCCGAAAACATGCAACTTAAATTAATTGACTAATACAAATCAGCACCATAGACATGCTCCTAGTAAGCAGTTAATCACTATCTGTTCATTAGCTACTACAGGAGGGGCGTTCTCGAGATCTTCCTGAGCTCAAACTCCCCTCTCAGCTTGCAAACGGGAGGGAGCCCCGGGCTCGAGGATCTTATGAGCTCAGGGCTCTCTCCCATGCCATGACAGCATGCCAAACAAGCTTTAGAATCAATCATCAGCTAAGTGGGAACTCTTGAAATGTATATATAAAGTCCACAAATCCCTGAATAAATCAATATAGAAATAATTAGTAGTGCGGGACAGGTAAATAACTGAATAAATTATATGAATAGTGGAGGAATAAGAAAATGCTAAACTGAAAGTTTATTCCAAATCCCTCCTCGTTCAAATGTTAATTCATTCTTGGACGTAGTTGCGTATTTACTTTTCCTCAGCTCAACATGATAATGAAAGGGTGTCTCAAGCATCAGAGTCCACTACAGACAATTTAGCCTACCCAATTCACCTGTACTGCATGTCTTTAAACTGTGGGGGAAATCGGGGAAACTGGAGGAAACCCACAGGAATGCAGGGAGAACATGCAAACTTCACACAGAAACGGCAACTGACTCAGCCAAGGCTCGAACCAGCGACCTTCATGCTGTGAGGTGACAGCACTACCTACTGCGCCACTGCGTCGCCAATATTTTTGAATACATTTATTTATTTATTTGCATGATTATTTATTATTTTATTTATGCAAAAATGTATGGATTTATTAATATATTTGCATATTTATTTATTTATTGTTTTTGCAAGCTTCATCCTCCATAGTATTATGACTGTAAATATTTAATGTTTTTACATAAAACAACACCGATAAAATTTCACCGACAACTCCTTGTTCAAGCCCTTGTTCTTTCCAGACTGGACTATTGCAACTTTCTACTAGCCGGGCTCCAGGCTAACTCTATCAAACCTCTTCAGATGCTTCAGAACGCAGCAGCACGAGTGGTCTTTAATGAACCTAAAAGAGCCAACCCGGGCTTATTGTGGAAACATAGCCCCGCAGACGTTTCTGCGGACTGCGAAATACGTCCCAGGAGGTACGTATTCGAGCGGTTTATGTTTTCGCGGATCCACGAGAGGCCGCTGTGCGCGCTTTTTCCCATCCCTAGCATCTCTCGGGAGCACGCGCTGTTCGCACCTGCTCTGTTCTCGCGTGAAAAGCCACCGGAGGCCGTTGTGGAGTGACCGTCCGTCCGACTGGCTAACTGAATGACCGAACGATCAACCGGGCGGCAGGCAGATCGGCCGACCCGGCCGCCCTCCTCTTCCTCCTCCTTCCCTCTCCCTCTCACTCCGCTGCTCATCCGTTTGCACTGGCTGCCAGTTGCTGCTCGCATCAAATTCAAAGCACTGATGTTTGCCTACAAAGCGATTTCTGGCTGCGCCCCTTCTTATCTGCTCTCACTTCTGCAGATTTATAGGCCCTCCAGAAACTTGCGTTCTGTGAAGGAACGTCGCCTCGTGGTTCCATCCCAAAGAGGGAAGAAAACGCTTTCCCGAACGCTCGCGCTCAATCTGCCCAGTTGGTGGAATGAACTCCCTAACTGCATCAGAACGGCAGAGTCACTCGCTGTCTTCAAAAAGCAACCAAAAACTCAACTATTTAGTCTCCACTTTCCTTCCTAATCTGCAATTGCCTCTCTGACTCCTCCACTAACTACAAAAAAAAAAAAAAATAAATTAAATAAATAAATATATATATATATATATATATATATATATATATATATATATATATATATATATATATATATATATATATATATATATATATATATATTACTTTCCCAAAGATGGGTTGCGGCTGGAAGGGCATCCGCTGCGTAAAAACTTTCTGGATAAGTTGGCGGTTCATTCCACTGTGGCGACCCCGGATTAATAAAGGGACTAAGCCGACAAGAAAATGAATAACTATATATATTACTAATGCTTTCCTTCTTAGACTTTACACACCTGAAACTTGCCTTCAGCACTTATTCATTGTTGCTCTTATAATGTGTAAACTGCTTACTTGTCCTCATTTGTAAGTCGCTTTGGATAAAAGTGTCTGCTAAATGACTAAATGTAAATGTAAATGTAAAATGACTAAGCTGATTATAAAACTTGCCCATATTAAGGTAAATTTATAGTTAGAGCGAGTAAATTATTGTAATGGAAAAGTTCATGTCTACACCTCAGACATGCTTTATGTTGTTTTATGGCTTGCTTTACTGTTTTTTGATTACATTATGTCCCAAGATACTGTAACACAAAGATATTTGGACTTGGGGAAAAAGTGGATCAGGAACCTAAATTAGTATGTGATGGGACGCAAGAGGAACACACAACCCTGTCAGTAATCAGATTAGACAGGATTATGTCTGTAGGCTTGAAGACATCAGACGAGCAACTGAAGAGATACACAGCAACCGGTATATTATCATCCACTGAAGAAGATCAACACGAGGCTTTGTTCAGCTGCTGAACATTTCAACCAGATATTTTATCAAGGTATTTACCTGCTTCAGTGTTTTGAGGTCATAAAAATGTGGATTTCTGTTTCTCTTAAAGCCAGAGAGGCTACTCGTCCACTGTAATGCTAATTCTTAAAGGGATAGTACACCCCAAATGTTATTTTCCTCACGAGTGGCTGTAAGCTTTTATGAATCTCTTCCTTTTGTTGAACACAAAACAATTTATTCTGAAGAATAAACAGCGATTGAAATCCGCAGGGACAGAAAACACTATGGAAGCCAGTGGCTGCTTTTTTACTGAGGTAAAGTTGGCTTTATGTTTGCACGTCATTCGTTCAGCGATAATAACTAATGATATTCTCCCTCTTTTGTTTACTATGCTACTTCAGGCCCAAAGCCAGCCTGGTGAAAGGGGTGGTTATATTTTCTCAAAAAGTGCACGGTTTTCAGTTATTCATCCCCCTTTTTTATTTAATTATGGGAATTAAATACTGCATTTTAGTGACATTTTAAGCACTATTTTTAGCTGAATTAGCTTGTCGATTAACCACATTTATTGATGTACCAAAATATTTCCTAAAGATTTAGAATAAAGAAATGTGAAAAAAATATATTTATTTTTTAAAATACAAATGTATTGCATCATATTTCATTGGAAAAAAAAAGAAAATCTGTTAAAGTTTTAAATTAAAAATTGTAGTCGATAGTCATTTATTACACTGTAAAACCCCAAAAATTAAGGCAATATTAATTAAGGTAATTAATTACCTTCAACACTGAGTTCAAAATTCTTTTCAAATGAGTAGAATTAACTTTCAGCCAATTTTAGTTAAGAGTTAACTACACTTATTTCATTTGATAAAGCTGACTGTTGGGTTTTACAGTGTAGGCAAATAAAAAACTGGCCCAATTTTGGTTGTTTGAATAAAAATTCTTAATGGGTCATGACAGCCCCCAATTTTGGTTCAGGTTTACCTCACAATTTTTTTCAAAAGATGCATCATAATGGGCGTGGAGCTCCGAGAGGTGCCTCAATCCCCGGGTCTGAATCATAGGTCTGAATGCAGACTCAGTGCAGCAGATCTCTTGCCTTGTCTATTTTATCCATTAGCCCTGTTGGTAATCTACACTAGAGGATTTAGGCAAACACAGCAGCACGGCAATGTGTAAATGTGAACGAACTCCACTGATAAAAGATAATGTCCGCCATTCTCCAATTCTCGTACTGCTCTCCCGACAAAAATGCTTGCTGGACACAAACAGCTTTGCTGTATTGGCCCTGACAACATTGCGGGGACAAACATGCAACAAACCCCGTGGATCAAGGAAACAAACACATACGAGCCTTCATAAACAGCTAAATACTGTGTGGCTTGGGTATGTGTCTCACAGCTTGGCACTGGCAGGTCTGCCTTCCCTTCGGAAAGCACGTGCAGTCATGAATAATTAAGAAGCCGGCTCTTCTCATAGGATAAGAAAATTCAGCTATGAGTAATAATGAGAAACTGAAACATCTTCACTCCACTTGCAGTTTTGCACTACATCCCTGATTTTGATCCCGTCCCAAAAATCATTTTAAACCCGGAAGATGAAATTAGCTGACAAAAGCTCAAAATTATCCAGTTTACCTAACAGTTAAAGCTAACAGGTGCTAACATTGCCTTAACTAATGCTCAACACACAAAACTCTGTTAAAATCTCAAAAAAATTACTCAAGGGTTTTGTGAACCTTTAAAACATAATATTATTAATGATGTAGAGCTTTACAATCTTTCTTGTAAAAAAAAAGTATATTTGAAAGTTCATGGATAACAAAAATAGCCAAAATAAAGTTCAAATAAATTTAATACGGGCCACTTTTGGTGCTTCACACCTTTTTATCTGTCTTTTTTTTCAAGAATAAGGTCCAAAAATTTAAATAAAATTTACTTGTAAAATGTTTTCTTTATTTAAAATCAACACAGTATTGAAAAATGACTTCTGTTATGTCATATTATTATGTTTTCTTGCACAGTTGGATGTTGGACTCATCAAAAATAATAGTTTGCATTGGCCAAAACTTATTATCACACTGAAGCAACAGCCAAAAGAGGATTCCACTTGGACTTCTTAAAGCCTTTTCCGATTGCTTATTTTCTCTATTTATGATGGACAAATTCTGGACCTTTGTCAGTGAGGGCTGGGTCGAATCCCCCCCTGGTCACGGGCCTGTTCTTTGAATATTCGGTCTGAAATACATCCAAGTCACTTAAAAAAAAAAAGAGTTTTGGAATAAGTGAGGATGAGAAATGAGGAAAATTCTAAAGTGTTGATGAAACGCACCTTTACATGTTTAATCATATTTTAACATTTTATTTACTAAACTTGACCTTTTAATGTTCTATATTACATTATATCATCACCGGCCACTTTATTAGGTACACCATACTATTACCGGATCGGACCACCTTTTCCTTTTAGAACTGCCTTAATCCTTCGTAGCACAGATTCAACAAGGTGCTGGAAATATTCCTCAGAGATTTTGGTCCATATTGACATGATAGCATCACACAGTAGCTGAAGATTTGTCGGCTGCACATCCATGATGCCAATCTCCTGTTTCACCACATCCCAAAGGTGCTCTGTTGGATTGAGATCTAGTGACTGTGGAGGCCATTTGAGTACAGTGAACTCATTGTCATGTTCAAGAAACCAGTTTAAGATGATTCGCGCTTTATGACATGGAGTGTTATCCTGCTGGAAGTATCAGAAGATGGGTGCACTGTGGTCATAAAGGGATGGACCTGAACTGTTGATTCAAGGCAGGATGGATCCGTTTCTTCATGTTGTTAACCCCAAATTCTGTCCCGACCATCTGAATGTTGCAGAAGAAATCAAGACTCATCAGACCAGGAAACATTTCTCCAATCTTCTACTGTCCAGTTTTGGTGAGCCTGTGTGAATTGTAGCCTCAGTTTCCTGTTCTTAGCTGACAGGAGTGACACCCGGTGTGGTCTTCTGCTGCTGTAGCCCATCTGCCTCAAGGTTGGATGTGTTGTGTGTTCAGAGATGCTCTTCTGCAGACCTCAGTTGTAACGAGTGCTTATTTGAGTTACTGATCCTTTCTATCAGCTGGAACCAGTCTGGCCATTCTCCTCTGATCTCTGGCATCAACAAGGCATTTGCGCCCACAGAACTGCCGCTCACTGAATATTTTCTCTTTTTCAGACCATTCTCTGTAAACCCTAATGATGGTTGTGTGTGAAAGTCCTAGTAGATTAGCAGTTTCTGAAATACTCAGACCAGCCCGTCTGGCACCAACAACCATACCACATTCAAAGTTACTTAAATCACCTTTAAATCACCTTTAAATCACTTAAATCATTGAACTGTAGACCATGTCTACACGCCTAAATGCATTGAGTTGCTGCCATGTGATTGGCTGATTAAAAAATTTGCGTTAATGAGCAGTTGGATAGGTGTACCTAATAAAGTGGCCGGTGAGTGTATTTCATCTTTGACCATACAGTTTATTTTCCTATGTATATTTTGCAGACTGCTGAGCACCATGTGAAACCCCTGTAAAATGGCGACTTATGTCCTGTGGTCAGCAGTAGTCTGGACTTTCAAGAGCCTGTTGTTCACATGGAGGTTTTTCTGGGTGAATATTATCTTCTTCCATTAATGCCAGTCTTAATATATTCTGTATTGCTACACAAACACTCTGATAATCAACTGAAATGTTATTCATTTGTACTGTAGGTCAGCCCATATTGTGCTTTAAAGTCTGCACCGCAGCAAAGACTTGACACTGACCATAAACCCCAGCCAAAACTGACCACAGGTAAGAGAAAAACTAAACACAATCATCAATCAATGAAAGCCTCATGAGTGCAATTCGATTGGTTATTTTCACAATTTATCATGGTATACTATCAAAAATGGGACAAATGAGCTTATATAGTGGCCAAATTCTGGACTTTGTCAGAGGAGGGTGCGTTTTTTGAACCACCCAAACCCACCCCGGGTACGGGCCTATATATATATATATATATATATATATATATATATATATATATATATATATATAATTTAAAAATAACAGTATTACTGTTATTATACAATTATTACTCTAAAATATACAGAAAAGGCACGTGCCCTAGTAAATGGGGTCTAAACTGAGTTGGACAGATGTACCTAATAAAGTGGCCAGTGTGTGTGTGTATATACATATTTATAATATTATAAAAAAACATTCTTTTTTCTGTGTTCCCCAAACCATTGAAGATTTTTATTTTTAGGTGATCTATCCTGATAAGTGTTTAACTCCATTATTAGTATAATCAGAATCAGCACAACAGAATGCGCATTTGCCAAAGCTTTAAAACTAAATGCTTTTATAAATCCCTAGAGGTCAAGCGTCCCGCAGAGACAGATGTGATGAAGGACAAACCTGAAAACTGTGCTCAGCGCGATCGCAAAAGCGGCCTGTTCAAGAGACTGCTGTCGGCTGAAGGAGAGATCCGGGAACTGAAGATAGAGATTGCAAATCAGAGAGCATCGTGGGATATGCGGTTTGTGGAACTGCAAAGGAGACAACATGATCTGAGAGACCAGGTATGTACAATCAAACCCACAATACAGCATTAAATGGGCTCTATGCACAGCTAGAGTTTTAAAGCCAATGATGAACTCCCGGTGAAAGCTTAATGTGACTATTTTCAATTTCACAAGGTTGTTTTAACAGCATCGATGCTGTAATGTAATTGCAATACAGTCAGTTAAATCAGGCATGTCCAAACTCGGTCCTGGAGGGCCGGTGTCCTGCTGAGTTTAGCTCCAACTTGCTTTAAAACACCTGCAGGACGTTTCGAGTACATCTACCAAGAGCTTGATAAGCTGGTTCAGGTGTGTTTGATTAGGGTTGGAGTTAAACTCTCCAAGACACCGGCCCTCCAGAACCGAGTTTGGACACCACTGAGTTAAATAGATGAAATACTGTTGTAACCACTAGTGCCATCAGTAGCAACAGGCTAGCACAGTAATTCCATTGAAAATACTGGGGTAAAATATATGTTTTAAAGGCATGGCGGGGGGAAATGGAATTTAATGCAGTGATTCTTGCCTGATCTGACACCCACTTCACATCTAACAGACAGTGAAGATCGCTGATTTTTAAAGTAGTCAGATCTTAAACGTGACGATTTTGTAATGGAAAGAAATTTTCCATTTGCCTGGCTAAAAAAAATTAAAAGTCCCTGTGTATATAGCCCATTGCTCCTTGTCCCAAGCTTTTTGTGTGTGCGTGTGTGTGTGTGTGTGTGTACGTGTGACATATCAGGACACAAATCTGTATAATGACATGGGTATGACACAGGTATTACAAAAAGGAGGTGAAATATGAGGACATTGGTGACGTCCTCATTTCTCAAAATGCTTATAAATCTTACAGAGCGAGTTTAATCAGAGTGTAAAGCTGCACACAGTCTCCTGTGATGGTTGGGTTTAGGGGTGGGGTGAGGGCAATATAAAATATGGTTTGGACTGTATAAAATGAATGGAAACCTATGTAATGTCCCCACTTTTCACAAAAACAAACATGTGTGTGTGTGTGTGTGTGTGTGTGTGCGTGCGTGCGTGCGTGTGTGTGTGTGTGTATAACATTGCTTTTTAAGCTGTTGTGTGATGTGATATTTTCAGCTGACCTCAGAGATTCTGGTTCGGACGGGAATGCTGTACAGAGATAATGATTCAGAAGAAACAAATGAGGTCTTTACAGAGTCTGGCCTGGAAAACGGAGTTTATACAGATGAGTGTATAAGTACGTCTTTTCTTTTTACAGCCTTGAATATTTTAAAATATCTTTAAATGAATTGACATTGTAAATGGTCTCCGAGGCCTTTTCTGATTCATTTCTGAATAATGAACCTTTTTCACAACTAGTGATGTGCAATAGCACTGGTGTCCTATCCAATCCTATATCAAATGAAGGCGAATATCGGTCATACCGATCTGACACCAATACTTTTTTAATCAAAAACCTATAAACATTTATATATATTTCCGTATACATTATATCATCTTTGCTTCAAAATACAAAAAACGAATAACCGCTTGTGCGAGGCGTTTCTAATGCAGCTTCTATGGAGCAAGACAGTAAATATGAGATTATTCTCACTTCTGTCTGCATATTTCAGTCTCACACTATTGTTTTCCTTTTTCTGAAAGTCGTGATAACACCATTGTGGAGTTTTTCTTTTATTATTTCAGCAAATAGGATTGTAAAATAATTATTTGTTGTCCTCTCCTATTTACTATGCTCAAAGTTTTCCCAACTATGATGACGTCTGCTACTGAGAAACGTGAAATGTGAAAAGGGTCGATATAGTTTAATTATTGTGTTATTGTGAAACTCAATGATTACAGTCAAATAGAATTAAATTAAATATATTCTAAAAAAAAAAAAAAACACTCGTGGTTCATGGGTTTTGTATGGCAATACAAATAGTAAAAAGGGCAATAATAAGGCCATTAAAAAGTATTAAAGGGACAGTTCACACAAAAATTATATATTTTTTTATTATTTACTCACCTTTTATACTAACAACGTGAAACCTGTAATCATTGATTTCCAAAGAACATTAACTGACAAACGTTTTGTCAACTATCCAAGTTTTAGAAACAACAAATAATTACTTGACTTCCAGTTGATCTTTTGGTATCAGAAGTGGCTCAAGTGAAAGGCAAAGGCCTCTAGATTACACTTGTTTTATTAAAAATAAAATATGATCATGACTTGATTTTTAATGATTTAATTAGGATAGTAAGATCTGACTTTGCTTAGACAAAAGTCTTGTCACTGAACAGAAATAATGTCCAGTGTAGAATATAAAGTCCTGCTGCAGTGGAGACAGAATGAATATTGTGTCTGACTCAATCATGAGCTTGGAGGACTGCATCCATACATCTCTACAATGACTCAAAACACTGATTAATAAAGTCATCTGGAATGGCAAAGAAAGTGTTCCAGAGTTCATCAAGATTCTTTGGATTCATCTTCAATGCCTCCTTCTTCATCTTACCTCAGATATGCTCAATAATGTTTATGTCTGGTGACTGGGCTGGCCAATCCTGGAGTACCTTGACCTTCTTTGCTTTCAGGAGCTTTGATGTGGAGGCTGAAGTATGAGGAGCGCTATCCTGCTGAGGAATTCGCCCTCTCCTGTGGTTTGTAATGTAATGGGCAGCACAAATGTCTTGACACATCAGGCTGTTGATGTTGCCCTCCACTCTGCAGATCTCTCACATGCCCCCACACTGAATGTAACCCCAAACCATGATTTTTCCATCAGCAAACTTGACTGATTTCTGTGAAAATCTTCTTGGGTCCATGTCGGTTCTAACAGGTCTTCTGCCGTATTTGTGATGATTGGGATGATTCACACATGATTCTGAAAAATCTACCTTCTGCCACTTTTCCAAATGATCAACTAGAAGTTAACTTATTATTTGATGTTATTCTGACCTGCAGTCAGAAACCCTGTTTAGATGAATGGGAAAACTGAGTCTCTTCTTACCTTCCATAGGTGGTCTCAGACAGACCCACCAGCAAAAGAGGCTTGATATGGATCTGCTTGGAGACGGTGTTGAGCAAAAGAGTTTGTACGGAAGTCAAACCTCCTGCCAATCCAGAGCCACTTCTGCCATGTCTAACATCAGGTATTCATGTTCGTTCATGCCCGGCTCCTGTCACTGAAAACCGCTGTCACAGTCAAGTGTTCCTCAGAACTGTGGAATAAACAGGAACATTTCACTCTGGAATGCAGTCGATGACCAATCAGAAGCACATATTCCCATGCATTAATGAATGCATATTTATTTAAAGCATCTTTTTCTGGTCTTATTTCCTCATATAACGTCTTCATTACAAACCAATTCTAAAGTGAATCACAACATTTTTAACTCTGAATTTAAGAGAAAAAATTACGAAAAAATTTTAAACAAAGAGGACAAGTATAAAGGAAAAATATAAACTATGTTTTAAAGAGCCGCTATTATGGGTTTTTGAAAAAGTTCTTCTATGCCAGGCATGTCCAAGCTCGGTCCTGGAGGGCCGGTGTCCTGCAAAGGTTAGTTCCAACCCCAATTAGACACACCTGGGCTAGCTCATCAAGCTCTTATGCTGCGTTCACACCAGATGCGGAATGCGCGGATAAATCGCGATATTCGCGCATAAATAGCCACGTGAACATTTGAGTTTACTCGCTTCATTCGAGCGTCAAACCCCCCTTGATTCGAGCGTCAAACCCTGCTTCGTGTGTCAAATCCGCTTCATTTGCGTGTCAAATTCACTTCAGAAGAGACGCGGATTCGCGTGATGGGCAGGGCTTCTGTCTGCCCGGTGACTCTAGCTTCATTGCTAAATGGTTAACATGGATTTTATGAAGAAAATAACAGAGTTTATGTGCTTTATGAAGGCTGAAAAACAGCATCGATACGTTTAGGGCCGTGCCTGAGTCCACTACATACTTTCAGAGGTGCATCCAGCTGTGTGAGCTCATAAACTCCTCCAGAAACTTAACCTGGCCGACGGAGACTTTCAGCGGTGCTTCTGACTGAGCCTAGCCCAGTTTGATTAACTTCTTGTCGGTGTCGGCTGGAGGATTTCCTCTGGGACACCCACAACAAGCGATACGTCACTATCACGCCCCCACAAGAGCAAGCTCCTGATTGATTAACGCGGCACGAATGTCCGCTGAAGTTCAGACTTTTGAACTCAAGCAATTAGCGTAAAACAAGTGTCAAACGCGCAAAACGCTGAATTTGCGCAGCATCATTCGCACGTATCGCTACGTGCCATTTGTGCATATCACGCCGCAGGATGTCTATTTACGCATTTGCATTGACTTAACATGTAAATTACTCGCGCTTGACGCACGTTCCGCGTCTGGTGTAAACGCAGCATCACTAGGCTTTCTAGAAACATCCTTGCAGGTGTGTTGAGGCAAGTTGGAGCTAAAATCTGCAGGACACCAGCCCTCCAGGACCGAGTTTGGACACCCCTGTTCTATGCAGTGTGTAACACAACTCTGAGTGAATGAAAACATCCAGCAGAGGTTTAAATCTGAAAGTGCACCATGTTTAAAACTTTTGATTCTTTAACGAAATAGTCGACTCAGAGTCGAATGAATAAATCGAGATGGGTTTGGATCTTTTGCTTGAATGCGTCAACGTTGGCTACATCTGAAAACGCATACTTCCATACTAGATAGTAGGCTAAAATAAGCATGTGAGCCGAGTAGTATGTCCGAATTCATATAATTCGAAAATAAGTATGTGAGAAGTGCTTGGATGACTTACTTCTGGCAAGATTCTGAAGTGCGCATCCCATGCACTCTGCCCTATCCCATGATGCCCCACGAGAGAATTCATGAATAGGAGTGAAGCGACGCAACCAACGCAGGTTGGTCATGTGACCAGGACAAAATGGTGGATGTAGTACATCCAAATTCCATTCATACGTCTAACTTTCTTACTGTGTAGAACGTATTCTTCTAACGGCCGTGTAGTACGTTTAAATTTAAATGCAGTACCTACTGAGTAGTAGGCTCAGTTTGGACATAGCCATTGATACAGTACATCACCAAATATTTAGTACCGGCTCGGTAAAATGTGCATGCGTTTTCCCTTCAGACACTAGTGGAGCGTGGGGGGATCATGGAACTGATCATGCAACTGATGCCGATCCCTGACTGATGGAGATTCGGCTGAGGGGAATAAAGGGTTAAAGTTCATTTTTACAACAACACCACAGTATAGCCAAGCTAGTGCTGTGTTTGTTCCTGTCATATTTCTGATGATTGATACAATAACCTACACTGCAACGTGGGATTCGTCGGCTGTTAGTTATAAAAGGAAGGAGCCGCAGAGGCTATTATATATGGGACTATGTCAGACTTTGACAGGGACTTTGTCAGTAACTTTTACAGATCATATGGACCCGTTTCTTCTTCCTCCAGGTCATAGCATGTAAGTGTCATTAAAACTGTTGCCTCATTTTGTGTAGTTTGCAAAATATGTTTAATTGTGCACCCGGTGTGGCTTGTAATCACTTCTCTATTATAGATCAGTGCTTGTACTGTATCTCTCAGGTTAAAACTTGACTTATATTCACATATTGCCTCTTCCTGCTTCTTCCTTTTTGGATTTAAACGCGTTTCTGGACTCACGATTCTCTGCCGTTTGTCTTTGCTATGGGCCCTATCAGCCGTTCCTATACAGCCGGCAGCTAGCTCTCTGCAACTCTCACATGGTCGCCAACTGAAGCACATGGGAAAGCCAGGTTGCGCCAGAAGTGGTGTTAGTGAGGCCAGCAGGGGGCGCTCAACCTGTGGTTCCTAAGGCCCCAGTATACGGGGACTCTATACTGCTCAGTAAGCGCCGTCTTTCGGATAAGACGTTAAACCGAGGTCCTGACTCTCTGTGGTTGTTAAAAATCCCAGGATGTCCTTCGAAAAAGAGTAGGGGTTAAACACTGGCATCCTGGCCAAATCTGCCCTCTAGCCTCAGTCCATCCTGGCCTCCTAACCTTCCCCATATCATAATTGGCATATCATGACTCTGTCTCCTCTCCACCATTCAGCTGGTGTGTGGTGTGCCTTCTGGCGCAAAATGGCTGCAGTCGCGTCAATTAGGTGGATGCCGCACACTGGTGGTGGATGAGGAGATTCCCCCCATTGTGTAAAGTGCTTTGAGTGCCCAGAAAAGCGCTATATAAATGTAAGGAATTATTATTATTATTATTATCATACACGCGCAGCCAATTTTCAAAATAGTTCAACTTTTGCCACTGTGTGGATTAAAACTGAATGTGTGTGCTTGTAATTACATGGGGTTAGGTTTAAGAGTAGAGTAATATGCTGGTGTTTAACTGCATTGCTTTATTGCATTCCTGCATTAGGCTCTCATAAACTTCATAGCTGTGGTGGGCATTTCTCTCCATCTCGCGCTGAACGGAGTCAACCAATCACAACAAATAAATCGCTGAACCAATCATGTGGGAGTTATTGGGATAATTAGGTAAAAATAAATGCACATTATAAGACAATGAAAGTGTTTTTTGACCTTGCATGCATATCAGACTGTTGTTGGAGACCCCAAAAACCAAAATATGAACTTTTATAATGCAAAATAGGGGCTCTTTAAAGACAGGTTTATTATTCACAATAACTAATAACACATTGTTTTCATGGGTCAAAATTTATTAAGCCTTTAAATGTCACTTTAAGATGAATTCTAGTATCTTTAAAAAAATCTAGTCAAATATTATTTACTGTCATCATGGCACAGATAAATTAAATCAGTAATTAGTGTTGAGTCAGTAAAACTAATGTTTAGAAATGTGTTGAAAACATCTTTCCGTTAAACAGAAATTGGGAAAAAAAAAACACACGTTTACACATCCAGGCACTCTCTTTTTTCAGTGTAAGGTCTTGGAGGAGTGGAGGTGGACCTCATCGAGTGTTTGTGCCCCATTCCCCCATGGACCTGAAAACTGGACACAGAGTTCGGATTATGTTACCGTCTGGACGGATCTGCACCGGGACCTTACGTTACCTTGGCAACATGCACAACTCCCCTGACCACTATCTCGGTGTAGAACTGGAGATGGCTGATAATGGACAGCACGACGGCACTTATGAAGGGCAGCGCTACTTTGACTGGTATGACGATGTTTTTCTATACTACACTCAAAAAATGAAGTTTAAAATGAGTTGAAACAACACAATTGTTAAGTTTTATTTGGGGCAGCTTAATAGGTTTATGTTTATTCCACTTAAATGTATAAACTAACAAGTTAACGTAATTCCTTCATGTTGTCCCAACACAAATCGATTGTGTGGAACCCCCATTTTTCGCAGTATACAGTTGTCTGCTTTTAGTGCAATTTGATATGTTCAGCTTCATTTTACAGCGCATTGTGCTCTGCGTCCTGATTGGCAGGGGCGCAACTGCACATTTCAACTTTTACGCGCCCCCCTTCAATCCAACTATATTTTATAACAGGCAAGTGATAAAATGTGGAAAATATTTCCATCAATAAATTAAAGATATTTTTTCATAAAGATATCAATATGCTTCAAAAAATACAGTTTCGCATTTCTGAACACAACTGAAATAGTATGAAGTAGTAAAAGGTATAATTACATTAAGCATGTTAGGTCGCAAAGAAATGCATCTCATACCACCCCAAATTTAATTTTCCCTCACTAAATGATTATATCACCTTGACTAGCCTTGCTTTTGGACTTTTTGTACTACATTTGTCAAAACAAAATGATAGACATGGGAGTCCTAAAGGGCAAAAGAACATTGTAATTACTTCTCACATGCATACTGTGAGAAGTGTAAGGTCTGTCTTTGCAAGAACAATTGACTGAAACTGCTAAAAGTTAAATAAAAAAGAATGTCAAATGTTTAGTGTAAAAAAAAACAGAAACAAACAAATGTTCTGTTTAATTGAAATGTTATAACTTTGTAGCTAAAATTAAAATAGTTTTGAGCTAAGAAGTTACCAAAAGGCCTGATGAATCTATATGATACATAATAAATTCATAAAAACATGTATATGGTATGAAAAATGGGGGTGGGGGGGTGTTGGGTGTTATGATTTTTTAATTTAATAAAATACAATATTATACGCTTATAAAATGCTAAATAAAAAATTTATATATATATATATATATATATATATATATATATATATATATATATATATATATATATATATATATATATATATATATATATATATATATATATATATAAATATATTATTTAAAACTTTTAATATGGATAATTTCAAAAATAGTTTTGGCACAATGGCGCCCCCCATGTGTGGCGCCCCTATGCGCCGCATATACTGCATACCCCCTTTTTGCGCCACTGCTGATTGGCTGTAGATTATTGTCAATCAATATTCTCTGTGTCTTCTGTACAGTACAGAATGCGTTCAGCATGGCAGATTAACATAAATCTTTGATCGCTAGCAGTGTGATTTCTGCTGTAACTGTCCGCAGCAAAGCCATTGTAAACATATGTTTATATCAGTGTAAGCACACCGGCACCGCAAGTCGATGGCTGTCTGTGGTGCATCTACGAGTCAGGACACTGTTCATATTTCTGCCACGCTACAGAGCGCCATCAGAATAATTTCATTTTAAGACACATTTGAGTGTGCACGTCCGGTGTGTGTTACTTTTTAACTGTCATGTGCGCTGCGCATCCTGTGTGCGACCCCCTTAAGGATGGAGTCTGCTTTAGCTTTGTGGATCAAGAAAAACATTACGCTGGATGTCAACATTATCCAAACTAAAGCTAAAAAACTTTATGAACGTTCTGCCCGATAGTGATGAATGTTTGTGCCTGACAACAGGTTTTGATCTTTGGTTTTATTCTATAAAACTGGATTCATTTTTCTACGAAAGTTTGAACTTTGAGAGTTTTAAACAAGAGAGAAAAGTGTGAAAATGTGAATGCACTCGAATTTTTGTGTGTGTGTGTGTGTGCTCGTTAAAACTACCTAATTAAAATGAGCTACCACAACACAATTCCTGAGATTTTATTGGGACAACTTAATTTTTTTATCTTTAATCCACATAAATTTGGTAAAAGTGTTAAGTTAACCTAATCAATTTTTGTTGGGACAACATGTATGAATTGTGTGGAACACTGCATGTTTTACAGTGTGTGAAAGTGTGTAGCGAGGAGTTTAACAGCCTTTAAACATCTATAATAATTGTAAAAAATAAAGCTGACTACTTCGCAGTTTTCACCTATCGTGGGTTATTTTTAGAGCGTAACTCCCACGATTAACGAGAGACTGGAATGACCAGTTGGCGTTTCTGTGTGGAGTTTGCATGTTCTCTGCATGTTGGTGTGTTATAGGTGAATTGAATAAACTAAATTACCGGTAGTGTAGTGTATGAGTGTGTTTGTGAATGTGAGAGTGTGTGGATGTTTCCCAGTACTGGGTTGCGGCTGGAAAGGCATCCGCTGTGTAAAACATATGCCTGAATAGTTGGCGGTTCATTCCGCCGTGGCAACCCCTGATAAATAAGAGACTAAGCTGAAAAAAAATGAATGTTGACTAATGTATATGCAAATGAGAGGAATTTGTTATTTTGAAAATGCAAGTTATTGTAGTTTTGTTTAATTTATTTCAAGTAGCTAGCTACTATAAAACAAATATTTTTAGTTGTTTATATTTCTGTTTATTATTAATAATTTTATTAAAATGCAAATGATCAGCAGTTTCATATAGAGCAAAAAAAAAAAAAATCCAAACATTGATGCTAAACACTATTAAAACATTATATATGTAACTTATCGCATACAGCAGTCAAAAAGCAAACAAGAAGCACTTAATATTATTATTTTATTGGAGAATAAGAACAATTTATCTGAAATATCTTGTTTGTTTAGCGATTTTATTTTTGATATTGTGTCTGGATTTGGAGGTTTGGATTATATAGATCTAACAGAAACGAACACTAAAATAAAAAGTCGTTACCTTCTTGTCTGGCCACATTAAAGGCCAGATCAATTTTTATTTCATTTATCCACCTTTTGACTGGAAGGTTATTGAGTTCAATAACCAAGGAAAAACAAACACTCAGGAATTTGACAATGGTTACAAATTTCTGACGTTCTTCAAAATATCAACAGAACAAAAAACAAAAACAAACTCAATCCAGTTTGGAACAAGTGAAGGGTGAATAAATGATGACAGACTTTTCATGTTTGGGTGACAGATTGACAGATTGTACAGCCTGTCTACACCAAATACACAAAGCATGACGTGGTGCATCAAAAATCAAATAAAACTAATTATTTTCAGTCTAGTTGCCAAAAGTAAACAGATGTCCAGTTTCATTTCAGACAGATTTGTAATCCACACTTGCATCATATGTATTCACTAGAGGGCGCTGTCTACATTAGCTAATCTGAAATACGTTACTTAGGGTACATTCTGTCGTATGTTTTGCATAACAAATCCATTAGAGGGCACGGTCTACATCAGCTAATCTAAAAAACGTTACTTAGGATACATTTCGTTGTCCGTTTTGTATAACAAACCCCCTAGAAGGCACGGTCTACATTATCTAATCTGAAATATGTTACTTAGGATAGGTTTTGTTGTATGTTTTGTACAACAAATCCATTAGAGGGCGCTGTCTACATTAGCTAATCTGAAATACGTTACTAAAGATAGGTTATGTTGTACATTTTGTAAAACAAATCCACTAGAGGGCGCTGTCTACATATGCTAATCTGAAATACGTTTCTTAGGATAAATTTCGTTGTATATTTTGTATAACACATCCACTAGAGAGAAATACCTTTCTTTTGGTGCATTCTGTTGTATGTTTTGTAAAACGAATCCACTGGAGAGTGCTGTCTACTTTAGCTAATCTGAAATACGTTACTTAGGGTATATTTTGTGGTACGCTTCGGTTAACAAATCCTCTAGAGGGCGCTATCTACATTAGCTAATCTGAAATACGTTACTTAGGATAGGTTTTGTTGTATGATTTGTATAACAAATCCATTAGAGTGCGCTGTCTACATTAGCTAATCTGAAATACGTTTCTTAGGATAAATTTCGTTGTATATTTTGTATAACACATCCACTAGAGTGCGCTGTTTACATTAGCTAATCTGAAATACGTTACTTAGGATAGGTTTTGTTGTACGTTTCGGATAACAAAACCACTAGAGGGCGCTGTCTACATTAGCTAATCTGAAATACGTTTCTTAGGATAAATTTCGTTGTATATTTTGTATAACACATCCACTAGAGTGCGCTGTTTACATTAGCTAATTTGAAATACGTTACTTAAGGTTTATTTAGTTGTACGTTTCGGATAACAAAACCACTAGAGGGCGCTGTCTACATTAGCTAATCTGAAATACGTTACTTAAGGTTTATTTAGTTGTACGTTTCAGATAACAAATCCACTAGAGGGCGCTGTCTACATTAGCTAATCTGAAATAAGTTACTTAGGGCACATTTTGTTGTACGTTTCTGATAACAAATCCACTAGACTAGAGGGGGCTGTCTACATTAGCTAATCTCAAATACGTTACTTAGGATATATTTCATTTTATGTTTTGTAAAACAAATCCACAAAGGCAGAGCTTGTCGTACAGCTAGTAAACCACTAAACTCTTCCCTAAACCCAAACAATAGTGTATTCAACAGATGTAAAAGAAAAGTGCACCACAAAAACATCGTTTTACCACGATTTTATATTGCTTTTTCTATTTTGTTGAAGCGTGCTTGAATCCGAGCACTCTGCAGCACAAGCACCGTACAAATATAGCAGAAAAGTCATAAACAGTGTAAAATAGTTTTGTGGTGTTTATTTGGTGTTGTGCAAAAGGAGACATGAAAAAATCCATTATTTGCCAATAATAAGAGATAATCAATATTGTTAGTGTAAAAAGAAAGACAATTTGTTACCATCATACTGTCCCCTTGTGTTCATTTTACCTTAAATCTACAGACAAATGTAAGTTTAAGTAAGTATATTTTGTGGTTTCACAAAAAAGTAAGCTAAAGCACGTATTTCCAATCAGCCTGTGGAACATTTTTTAAATTAATTCAAGTAGTTTCCACTCATCTCATTGTAAATAACTCAGCTTAAACAACCAACTATTAAAATGTGAATTTAAAAATGATGTTATGTTCAGTGTTCTGCTTTCTCTCCTGACATTTCTTTCATTATTTTTCTCTTTCTCTTCAGTGACCCGGGATATGGTGCGTTTGTACCCTTCAGTAAATTGTTAATGGCTTGGGAGTAAACACTAAGTGAAGACTCAACACACGTCACGGCGAAGTACAATGCGATCTTGGATTAACATCATCTTGATCCTGGAACATCATATTTGTTGAAAAACGTAATCCATTCCTTTTTCCTACCCATTCCACAATCATAACTGTGAGTTATTCCCAAATTCAGAAGAGAATAATAGTTGGATAACAATCATGTAGAACCGTAAGCCTAAATTTAACATAAACAGTAAACAAATCCCTTAATTCTGATTGGTTGATTGGAATCTTGTTCCAGGATCAACGTAAATGTTAATCCAGGAACATGTCCAGCGTGGTGAAATCAGGTTAGGAAAGATGAAGACTCAACAGCACTTTCACAACAGCTGTAAGAATCACAACAACTGCTTCAATTCTCACAGAACTGTACGACTGCAGTGGTGACGTATTTTTGTGGGTCAATCTACACTTTGGCTCCCTCAACGAAACACAAATATAATTTTTTCTCAGGTGGGTTTAGGTTAATTGAAGAAAATAAATTTGAAGGTTATGTTTCTTACAACTTTTAAGCATCATGATAATCTTTAAAAATGAACTTTGACTAATACTGACGCATAATTACAGTATAGTTGGCAGAGGGAAACAATGCAATGTCAACTCTGCTAGTCGAATGATAGCTTACAGAAACAAATAGCAACATAATCAAACGTTCCCTATGTCACATTTTGACATTATTTTACTTTACAATAATGGATTGTTTACACTCAAAAATAAAGGCACGACTGCTGTCACTGGGGTGGAACAATTTTAAAAGGTACACGCTTGTAACTAAAAGTCCTTATTAATACCGTAAGGGTACGTACTAGTACCTTAAAAGTTTAAATGTGTACCTCTGGAAAATTGTAGGTACTAATATACGCCTTGATAGCATGGCAGCTCAGGGATTAGCACTGTCATGTCACAGCAAGAAGGTCACTGGTCTGAGTCCTGGCTGGGTCAGTTGGCATTTCTGTGTGGAGTTTGCATGTTCTCCCCATGTTGGCGTGGGTTTCCTTCCAGTGCTCCAGTTTCCCCCACAGTCCAAATATTGAATAAGCTAAATTAGCCATAGTGTATGGGTGTTTACTAGTACTGGATTGGACAGACATGTATAAAACATATGCTAGAACAGTTGGTGGTTCATTCCGCTGTGGCGACCCCTGATAAATAAGTGACTAAGCCGAAGGAAAATGAATGAATATACACCTTTAAGGTAGTAATATGGACCCTTTAAGTACAAATGTATACCTTTTAAAAAGGTACCACCCTAGTAACAGCTCTCGTACCTTTATTTCTTTTCGTATACTATTTCAGTTTATAATCGGAAAATGCTTGCAATGTATGTGCTGTTCTAAAACAAGTCACCTGTTTGTACATGTATTACAGTGTGATTTGTATGAAAATGTTCAATGTTTTGAAGACAATTAAGTATCTTTAACCCCGCCGGTCCTACACCCCCCAACCCATTCTGACAACCTTCAGCATGGCAGTCGGTTGCTTTACAGAGGAGGCTAAAGACTGTGACCTCTAGAGTCTGTCGCTAGAGCACCTTTTAGAGGTCAGAGGAGTGAGGTTTACCTGCACTTCACTTGCTGGCCTCCATTACAATCACGCCTCTAAGCCTCACTCCTATCCGGGTCACGGCACCAATGCAACCCCGCTGGTGTTCCACCCCCCTAACCCGCTACGAGCTGTGATCAAACCGGCCACTTTCTGCATCGGTTGCTCTACCAAGGAAGCTAAAGACCATGGCCTCTTTCGTCTGTTGCTAGAGCACCTTTTACGAAACATTCACACAGAGCAACAGTGTCAACGCTTCACATTCACTTTGAATGGGTGACGTCAGGCGTTGCGAAACTGCATTGTGGATCCCTCGTCGCCGCTTCAGAGGCGTTGCTCATTGCAGAATTTGGGACTTTCTCAACTTTTCAAGCGCCAACGGAAGCATCAGCCAATCAGATCGCTGCGTGCAAATACACCAGCTCAGACAAATGCCGATTGCTGACTAATTCCATTGGCTGGCGCTGCTATGACGATCGCGTCAGCCCCAACTTCAGACATGCCCTCTGTCAAGCGTTGACGCTGAAGCTCCGTGTGAATGCACTGTAGAGGTCAGAGGAGTGAGGTTTACCTGCACAGCACTTTACTAGCTGGCTTCGTTGCACTCACCACATTAAACCTCACTCCCATCTGGGAAATAACTCTTGTTAAGGTAAAGTTGGTTTTATATTTGCACATTCGTTCATTTTTGAACAGTGACAATATTTGACATGGACTCTATATTGGAACAGCATCTGAAATAGCATGTAAGTTTGACTTCAAACCAACATTTAAAACTATTTAATTGACTTTGAATGATGACGTACATTGGTAGTCGTTGGCTGCTAATATGATTACTCTGAACACTTCTCAGAAATTATATTATTAAGGAGAAAGTCAGAATGCGTAAATATGAAACCAACTTGACCTCAGTGTAACGTTCTGTGGACGTGAAGGGATTGTATATTAAACATTTGAATGAGACTACACAGAAATGCATGCGATTTACCAACCAATTCCTTGCAATTAAATTGTGTTTTACTCTGCATTATTTTACTGACTGTTCTCTGAAATTCTGGATGGATACCAGCAGATTTAAGATAAGTATGATCTTATCAGTTATTTTTGAAAATGCCAAACATAGCCTATATACAAGGAGCGGTGTTGAAATTCTGTAGAATTTCATGCACACACATGCCATGCATTGTATGACATTTCATTTATAACCCATATTAGTGTCTATTTTCATGGTACTAGTACTTATTTTTAGATACCAGTATCTTTTCCATTAGGAGGTACTTATTTATTAGATGCTAGTGCTTTTTTAAAATATACTAGCGCTTAATCATTAGATACTAGTTATGTGTTAAATACTAGTACCATTATCCATTAGGTATTAGTACTTATTCATTAGATACTAATATATATTTAATAGGTACTAGTACTTATTGACTTGTTCTATTTAATTGATACTAGTCATTATTAAATAGATACTGGTCCAAATTTATGAGTTACTACTAACTATTAAATAGATACTAGTAGTTTTTTTTAGTACTAATTAGTAGACACTAATTTGGGCTGCGTCCCAAATCGCATACTTCCAACCGAGTTGGAATCGAGTAGTATGTCTGAATTTATAGAACTACTACTACATGATCTACTACTCTCGGCGAGATTCTGAAGTGTGCATCCAATAGACGCTACGCGATCCCATGATGCACTGCATAAGAATTCATGAATGGAAGTGAAGCCACGCAACTGACTTGGGTAGGTCATGTGATCATGACAAAATGGTAGATGTAGTATGTCCAAGTTCCATTCATACTACTTACATTCACACAATACATAATAAATTTTTCCTAATGGCCGAGTATTGATGCCAATGTATCCATAATCCTGGACTATGCCATATCTTGAGCAGACGCTGTGGCGATCATGGGGGAGTGGAGAGCTTGAGACTCCTGATAGTTCCTGATAGACCACAGTGACTGCCGAGTCTTCGCATTGATCCCGTGGGCCAGCCAGATCACCCGCCGGTGATCTCCTCACACATTTTTCTACGATGGACGTCCAGGGTTCTCCAGCCTCCTTTGCCTAGACTGCAGCTCCACACAGGAAGTTTGGCCAGAGGATAAATGGTCCTGCCCAACTGAGCCTGGTTTCTCTCGAGGTTTTTTCATTTTACTAGTAAAATAAGGACAATTTAGAACGATTCTCAGGGCCCACGCCATTTTGAAGCCCCCAGAAATACTATACCCTCCTCCGCGACACCCCTCCCTCCCACTTTTCAACTTTCGCCTTTAACTTAAACATTCATAATCTCCCTCACTTTCATCCACGAAACAAACCACCACCACCCATTTAATGGGTACTAGCAGGAACACCGCTGGGGTGGGTGTGGTATGGCAGCCTGATCTCACGAGAAAACGTAAGTATTTTACGTTTTGCCAGTTTAGTGGCTAATTCGTAGGAATTCGTACGATTTCAGTCCTACGAAATGATATGATTTTAAAAAGGAGGCGTGGCACCTGACCCCACCCCTAACCCCAACCGTCATTGGGGGATAAGCAAATCGTACTAAATTGTACGAATTAGATCGTACAAATTCATACGAATTAGCCACTAAATGAAAAAGTTACGAATTGCCGTGAGATTGTGTTGGGTATGGAGGTGATAGGGATTGGAGTAAGGGTGATTCCAAGGGCCCACACCCCCGGCACAAACACCCTGCATCCCCACCCCCCACTCTTCACTTTCGTCCACAACACCCCTTCCCCCCACTCTTCATTTTTTTTCCGCGACAACCACACCTGCATTCCCCTTCCGGTGTTCACTTTTGTCCACAACAACCCCACCCCACACACCTGCCTCGGGCTCTTCATTTTAGTCTGTGACACCCATCACCCATGCTCTTCACTTTCGTCTGTGATACCCCTTCCCCCAACTCTTCAACTTTCGTCCGCGACATCTCCCTAACCCGCTCTTCACTTTTGTTTGTGACAACCCCCCAACTCACTCTTCAATTTTATCTGTGACAACCAAACCTCCACAAACACAAACATCCAGCCAGACACAAACATCCAAGATGCCCCCCCCCACACTATTACATTTTCGTCCGCGACCCCCTCCAACCTGCTCTTCACTTTTGTCCACTACAACCAAACCCTAATACCCTTGCTCTTCACAATAGTCCCTGAAACAAACCACCCAATTAATACGTACTAGTATAGGGGGTGGAATAGTTAGAAAGATTCTAAGGGTCCACGCCCCCATAAATACTATTAGGGGCCCACCAGATGACACCAAACAACCCACCCCCTCCCCCGCACACCCCGCTCTTCAATTTCATCCGCAACAACCACGCCCCACACCAAAACCCCGGGCTCTTCATTTTAGTCTGCGACACCCCATACCCACGCTCTTCACTTTCGTCTACGACACCCCTACCCCCACTCTTCAACTTTCGTCCGTGACAACACCAATACCTCCTAGTATCCAATGAACGAGAACTATTATCTAATACATAAGTAGCAGTATCAATTTACTAGATAATAGCAGGGGCACCCCTCCCAACCCACTCTTCAGTTTTCTTCGACAACAACACCACTACCTACTAGTATCTAATGAATGAGTTCTAGTATCTAATAAATAAGTGGCGTATTCTATTTAATAAGTAGTGTCCCCCCAGTATCTAATGAATAAGTACTACTACTTAATGAAAAAGATGCTAAGTTAGTATCTAAAACAATAAGTACAAGTAACATGAAAATAGATACCAGTACGGGTTATAAATTAAATGTCAAAACGGCATGCCATGTGTATTGCCAACATCCGCTAATGCAAATCAAAGAACCGCTCAACTGAACGCAGACAATACTGACTTTCAAACAGTGAGTCATATGAGGAAAATTATTCTCCTCTGTGTAGCGTTTTCCTCTGTCGTGTTCAAATTAGGTCATATTTACAGTAAATCATGAGGTTGACTGAGATCAGCAGTTATCGAATAATTTTCCCAGTATTATGTTTTAGGAAAGATACAATTGATTTCGACTGATAAACGACAGCATCATACCTCAAGTTACATGACTTTATTTAGTAGTTTTATTACCAAATTGGTATTTGGTAATAAATACTACCATATTTGGTAGTATTATTTAGTTTATTACGTATTCGTTTTTTTATGTACGGTATCATGCTCACCTCACAGATTTTCTCCTCACGTTACAAAGTGTTTGCGATAGGATTCAACAAGGTGTTTGCTCTGGCTTTTGGCCTTTTATGGTTATTTTTCGTGCTTAACTTCCTTTTACAAAGAAAGGAAATCACATTCCTTTGGATTAGGACAAGGAAATAAACAATACTCACATGGCTTGCCGAGAGAGCTGATTTGCATTTTTCACAACTCTTTTTTTGGGCGCGAACTTCCTTCTTCCTCGTAGAGGTAGATAAATAAATATATTGTCGAAAATGAAGGGAATTGGACAGATCATACAGTATGTAAATGGCGGAAGAACTTTCATTATTCAAATGAAGTAAACTGTCGCTACAGCTTTTTGTCATCAAACGTTCAACTTTTAAAAGGATAGCGCATTTATAATGGCTTTATACTCTCCTTTAACAACTTTTAATAAGCCAACATAACACTACAGCAAACTTTGTTTTTTACAGAATGTATATTTAGCCAGGTTAGTGTTTAAAATATGTGATTATACTTACTGTGGCCAATTTATTAGGTACATCGACTACAGCAGGCATGGGATCAGATTTAGGACGAAGAATTAAAATTAAATGTGCTGTAAATGACAAATGGTCACTAATGTTTGTAATAAAATGTTAAATCAATGTAAAAAAAGTCAACATTAAGAACTGAAGTCCAATGAGCAACTGGATTTTAAACATTGTGTTTGAGAGGATGCTGAATAAACTTCTTCATTAAGAGCTTCTTCAGCATTTATTTCAATCATTAGGTCAAATATTATCTAAACCCAAGGTGAAAAAAACAGCTTAAACCAGCAGGTTGGTTGGCTGGTTTTAGCTGGTCGACCAGACAGGTTTTAGAGGTTTTGGCCATTATGGAGATGGCCAGCTAAAACCATCAAGCTTAAACAAGGCTGGTCAAGCTGGTTTCAGCTGATCATTTTCCAGCCTGAACAGCTAAAACCAGGCTGGAGATGGCAAAACCCCTTTTAAAACCAGGGCTTAAGCTGTGTTTTTTTTCAGCAGGAAAATAAGGCATTTCTTTGGTTGTTGTTTTTGCATACAGCTCTAGCTGAGAGTACACCGAGTGTATTTATAGTGAAACTGCCAGCCAATGAACACTTTAAGTGACTAATTTACTACTGCCTTATTCCCGGCCTTAAATATGAATTCTCAAACATTTCAGCACGTGGTTCTAAACATCTAAACACATCAAACAACGGTGCACACACACCAATAGGAACTATATAAATGAGGTTATTGGCAGCACAAAAAAGTGCAACAGTCTGACAACCATATAATTTTTATTAGTCATAATTAATTTGTTTAATTTAACATTAACATCACTTAATAAGAATAGCGGGCACAATAATACAGCACAAGACTATGCTTGTCTTAATTTTGAAGCCAGCCACTTAAAGATCGTCTTTTATGTTCAGTCATGGCCTTTCTTTTTAACTTACGTGAGAGCCGTTAAGGCACAGGTGTCAAACTCAGTTCCAAAAGGGCCGCAGCTCTGCACAGTTTAGTTCCAACCCTAATTAAACACACCTGATCAAACTAATTGAGTCCTTCAGGCTTGTTTTCAAACCTACAGGTAAGTGTGTTGGAGCAGGGTTGGAACTAAACTGTCCACTGGGCTTCGGCCCTCCAGAAATTGAGTTTGACACCCCCTGCGTTAAGGTGTCAAAATTTAACATTGTGCCGTAAAATCAACCTGCTGCAGCTAACACTATTAAGGTGTCATTATTCAAGTGTAATATCCCCATGGGTCGCAACCCAATAAAAAAAGAATTGAAAGGATGACTTTTTATTTGCATGTTTTTTTTATGTAACTATTAAATACAATTTTTATCTTCTGCTGGTTACTGATAAAACATGGTGATTCTAATAGTTTAATAACATTTATAATAACCCTTTGGGAACCACTGCATTAAAATAAAGTGTGGAAGTCAATGGGTTCCAGCATTCCTCAAAATATTTTCTTTGGGAAAGAAAGTTGAACAGGCTTGGAACAAGTGGAGAATGGATTAATAATGGCAACATTTATATTTTTGGTTGAACTATTAATTTAAGGATCTATTTTAGTAGTGTTTGTAAATATGTTGTGCATTAAAAACGGAAAAACATACATTTTAATTTTTTTTTTTATTATTATTGCATTTGCCAATAAAACACTGAGAACTCTTTTTCCTGTTCACATTAATGATTATAAGGCACTGGCAGGTTATAAACATTTATGCACATACAGAAGAGCAGATACATGTAAGGATATTTACAAATAATTAAACACTCATGCTAATGGCACATCTTTGCAAACAGATGCAATAGTTAAAAAAAAAAATAAAACGTAGGCCGTCTTCTCATAAAAGAAAACAGGAGCAAAATGAAAAACCTCTGTCAGTGTCTTTAAATATAAACAAGAGACTAAAAAAACACAACCGTGTTACAACAACACAACAGCCTGCTCGGTTGAAAAATGGAGGATTAAATATTAGTGTCATATTACAAAACGTCATGGATTAAAATAATATCTAAACATCATAACTTATTATAACAATGACAATTTTTATTCTGCTGACCTGAAATTTTTTTTTTTTTTAAAGAATTGTCTAATAAGACTCTTACATCTTCTGACACGCCTAAAAGTAAAGCCTGTATAATTATTGCAAAGAGTTGAAAAACAACATGAAGAAAGTACATTTTCCATAGCAGGAAAAATCTCCTTTATACATTTCAATAGATAAAATCCACTTGCTCGGAGTTACAAAACAGGACCATGTAACGTTAAAAGCACAACTAAATGTAGTGTCTAGTTCTCTGGTGAGAAAAAAAAAACAAAAACGCAATGAGTCACAGAGTCAAATAGGTTGACGTAATGTCTGTAATAAAGTAATAAGTATGGTAATAAATCATTTTAGGGGATTTCCATACCCAATAACTGAAAGAGAATATGCAAAATGCCTACAGCAGACAAGGAAGCAAATCTTTTCCTTTTTAAAATGATTCTGAGGTGGAGATGATTTGAATGATCAATTAGCAGCTAGACTTATTAACTACAAAATAACCCTGAACATTAAAAAAAAACAGGGCTGGTCGTTAATAACTGCAATTACATACAACTATTTTTAAGTTACACGTCAGCTTCGGTTCAAACTAAATCTGTAGCCTTTACGTCAAGGTACAGTTTGCTACACAATAGGAGCAACAATTGACGCAATGTGCATCAACCCCTATAAACAACAACATCTAGACACAAGTTTGACATTGTAGTCATACATAGTTACCACACGTACTGTGTGATAAGTCATTTCGGTTTCTGAGAATTCTCGGAAACCTCGAAAACACAGAAAAGAGGAACATGTCACAAGCTGCACTCTCAGAAGTAATGTGCTCAACTTGTATTTGATTATTGGGACAAGATAGTGGCATTTTCTTCCTTGATAATGTTCATCAAGTACCAGCTAGCTAGAGGATTCCTGTCACAAGAACTTTGATGTCCACTGTGTTATTTAGGGTGCTTTCACACCTGTGAATCGATTCAGTTGTTCCGAAACAGAGATTACAATTGTTACATTGTTGCTCTTTGCTCTTGGAGCGGTTCGCTTTCACACTGCAAAGTTTCTAATTTGACCAAAATAGCTAAAACAAGTCACGTGCAAGTAAACTCTCCTCACATTGGTCAGAGTGTCAGGGTTTACTTTGCAGCGTCCCGCTAAGCTGTCAGGAGAGGTGGTGGTTTGGTGGTGATTGACAGGGAGCGCGTGCACGACATGTCTGAGGAGAGACGCGGTGGGGAGGGGTGAGAAGGGTGCGCGACAATGCCTATTTGAGGACCGGGAGGGAGACGCGAGATTACCGGGAGATCATCACTCGTTTACGGGCATCCAGAGACTCGCGAAACTTCCCGCCCTACTCATAATTCCCTCTTCATATAGCCGTAAGCCTATTATATATCCATAAAACACTGTGATATAACCGCGCTCGGATCGGATCGCTTTCTCACTGCAATCGAACCGCTCCAGGGTTCGTTTCAATCGAGCCGAGACCACCTCATTCAAGCGATCTCGGAGCGATTGCCCTGTTCACATATGCCAAACGAACCGCGCTAACTGGGCAAACGAGATACGTTCCGAAACAAAAGTGTAGGTGTGAAAGCACCCGAAGACTGACTGTGTGGCTTGTTTCCACAGACCAAATTGCACAGTACAGTTTGGTACAGTACGAATTTATTTCCACTTCCACTTGTCGGAAATACTGAACTGTACCACTTATTTGGAACACTTTTGTAAGAGTATCTAGCACAACAGATCTAGTATAACAGAGGTTGTAACAAAGTATGTTTTAGGGTGCTTTCACATCTGTAGTTCACTTCATTTGGTCCGCACCAAGGGTAATAAATGATACATTGTTGCATCTTCTGCCGTCTTTCGGTTGTTTTCACACCACACTGCTGGCTTTGGTCCGAACCAGTTGAAACAAACCAAAATGCAGTCATCTGACAAAATCCACATCTCTCATTGGCCAGATGTTGTCGAACATATTTCCTAAACTGCTTATTGATTGGTCAGAATTCACGTGCGGGAAAATGCCAATGAACTCCCGCAGGTAAACAAAACCGGCAGACACAAAATGTCGCTTTTTACTACGAAGGGACGACTGCGCTGACTGATTGTATGCCTGCTGTAGACAAGCTATACATTTCGAGAATGAAGCGCGGCCGCGGCTGGAAAACAGTGTTTTAATGCATCGCTCGTCACTTCAGGAGGAGGCGTGAATAAATTTAGCTAAACTGCGACATGGTCATCTTGCGGAAATATTACCATCGATCCATCATGTTTTCCTCTCTCTCTCTCTCTCTCTCTGTTGGTAAAGCGCTGTCAACAAATAGTTTTCTTCCATACACTGAAAAAAGTGTTGCATGGAGAACTGTTGCAAACAATTTAATTGTGTTGAATTTAAACAATCAAATTAAATTGAATAATGTTCAACTTAAATTGTTTGTTTAAATTCAACACAATTAAATTGTTTACAACCACTTAACGTAAAAAAATTGAGTAAATCCAAGGAATCATCTTTGAATATTTTTTTTCAGTGTATCCCATAATGCAAAGCGCATCGGCTTACGGCAGCTGAATTAGTCCAAAAGGCGCAGTACTTTTTGCGGTTGGACCTGTTTTAGTACGGATCATATTCTCACCACAATCGAACCGCTCCAGGGTACGTTTGAAAGCGTACCGAGACCACCTCTTCAAGCAGGTCTCGGTACGCTTATTTGGTCCGCTTTTGGTGCGCACTCGAGTATGATTGCTGCATTCTCACCTGCCCAAACGAACCGCACCAAAAGAAAAAACGAACTCTAGTGCGATTCAATCGAACTAAATAAGGCAGGTGTGAAAGCACCCTTAAGCAACTATGAACCCTTTTAAAAATAAAACACAAGGCTGTTTCTTTAAGGGAATTTCCTCAGGCTCAAGCTGTTAGTCCCCTTATGGCAAATATTTTCATGCATTCCTCTAGAGAGTGCAGAGACTCACTCTTTTTTTAACATCTGCCATGCAGTCTTTTTCTGTGATCCACAAGTTTTAAACAATCAGAAGAACTCTCCGCTGGATTTGAGTTTGAGAACTTCTGCAGCCAGCTGCTGTGCATCTTTCAGCTGAGGGAACATGTCCATAACTTTATTTACATGACGTGGGTTAAAAATGGCATAAAGCTTCTTCCTGACCTCCTCCCTTTCTTCTTGGAAAGCGTTGGACTGTGTCATGGCTGAATGCTGCTGGCTTCCGTAGACACCAGCAGACTGGGAACTACGGCTTGTTAAAGGCTCTGCTAAACCGGTCGCCTGTGTTAAGTAGTATGGGTAAGACCAGCCACCACAAGCAGGAAGACTGTAACTCTGGACAGGGTTAGGCAGAGGTAGAGAGCTGTAAGCAGTGTAATTTGGCTGAAGGCTGGAGAAATGACTAATGTTGTTATAATAATGGCCACCAGCAGGTACAGCAGGATTACCAGGCATTGGGGGATGACCAGATCTAATCCTGTGCAACTCATCAAAACTCTGGGATTGCTCTGAAAACTGGCTTTCGTAGGACCCAAGCCCAGAGTCGGAACTGAAAATGGATGGGTTTTTTGAATATGGTGCATGCAAACTGGTTCTGTCTCCCAAAGCACTGTATTGTCCAACCGGTGCAGTATTTAAGGGCTTTTTCATGGACATAATATCATCCCAGTAGTGGAGCAAGACATCCCTGCTGTCAGAGCTCTCGGGCTCCAAGCTCAGCTTCTTTTCCAGTTCTTGCTCCAGGGAGGGAGAGCAGGATCCAGGATCGTTTCTTGGGTATACTCCTCTTAGGGAACCAGAAACTCTGCAGTCCTCTTTAGAACCAGACAGTCTGGCATTTTCCCGAAGCTCATCGGCTAGAGAACGCTGGGATTGATTAGTGCGCTCTGGGTGGTAGAACTTACACTTGATCCCATATGTGCACTTTTTTCCTGAGGAGAAAAAGACAAATGTTTGCATCAGAGTTCCAACAGAATTTATTTTCACACCTAATCACAGCTACCTAAGAAAGATGACCAAGGTTTCTAGAAATTTACAGATATGATTCCCATCCTTAAAGGGATAAATTACCTCATAATTCTGTCATCATTTACTTATCCTCAACTTGTTTCAAACCAGTTTGAGTTTCTTTACTTTGCTGAACACAATCGAAGGTATACTTTTACATAGTATTTTTTGTTTCTACTATGGATTTCAATGGCGGTTTTTACCAACATTGAATAGCGTTGTCAAAAGTATCAAGTTCGGTACCAACTGGTATTCATTTATTCATTTTCAACTGCTTTTTCGGGGCCAGGGAGCAAGGGCAGCAGTCTTAGGAGAGAACCCCAGACTTCCCTCTCCAAAGACATTTCCTCCAGCGGGATCCCGAGGCGTTCCCAGGCCAGCCAGGAGACATAGTCCCTCCAGCGTGTCCTAGGTCTTCCCCAAGGTTTCCTCCCAGTGGGACATGCCTGGAACACCTCCCTAGGTAGGCATCCGAAACAGATCCCCGAGCCACCTCAACCAACTTTTCTCAATGAGGAGGAGCAGCGGCTCTACTCCAAGCTCCTCCCGGGTGACAGAGCTCCTCACCCTATCTATAAGGGTGCGCCCTGCCTCCCTCCCCTTTCGGCTGCTTGTATCCAAGATCTTGTCCTTTCGGTCATGACCCAAAGCTCATGATCATAGGTGAGAATAGGAACGTAGATTGACCAGTAAATAGAGAGCTTTGCCTTTCGGCTCAATTTGTACTGAAATAAAAATAATAATAATAAATTCCTGCTAACATTTAAGCGCTGTTTAGCACTTAATTACTGCTGATTGTCCATTGTATTCACACACTCAACAGAAATGACTGTGATTGGCTGTGAAGGTCATCAGCTCACTACTCTTTACCAAGTGCAAACACAGATACACAGACAAAAGCCTTGTACTGTATATCAGTTGGTCCATCAGCAGATCCCGAGTACGTCAGCTCATTGACAGATCAGCTGATCTACGCGGCTTTTCTTTTTGCCAATTAGCAGTGTTTAAATAGACACACAAATGTTAGCGCGAAATTGACATTTTTAAAATTTTGTACCAAAACGTACCAAACCTGATACTTTTGACCACCTAGATTATCTTGTTTCGGGTTCAACCAAAGAAAATAAATACATGAACATTTCAAACCACTCAAGCTTAAAGTAAATAGTGATTTGTTTTCTATCCCTTTAATAACTATCCAACAGAAAGAGAGCAGAAACAGATTCTGTGGTGTAGTTGTCACAAAAAAAAAATACAAAATGACTTTGAATGCTAAAAACAGGGCGAGTAGCTAAATGACTGCAATTACAGTGACGGTGTGAAGATTCTGCAAGACATGGAGTATTTTTCTGAAGAATTGGCTTGACAGTTGTAGATCAGGTAACCTCACACATTACCAAAACGTGTTCACAAGCTACTGCAGGGAGTTATTTGAATAATTTCAGCTATGTTTTTGTATTGTTAGACATGTCGCATGTTTTTTATTGGCATAATGTCTGTCTACTTGTTGCTTTGGCACACTCTCAAAGAACAGTTGGGTAAGTGATTTCGCCATCATAAGAAGTTACTGGAAGGGCTTAAAAATAATAGACATGGACACTAATAAAACCACTATAGTTAGAATAGATGTAGTAATGTTTACAGCTGTATTAGGTCTTGGTGATTCAATCCATTCCACCTCCATTTAGGTTTTGGGGCAGCATTATTATACACGGCACAATGAGGCACAGAAGTGTTGTATAAGTGCCTTGAAAAATGAATTAAAAAAGAATTTAATAACTTAACGCTACTTAAAATCTATAAAAATCTCAATGCATAGGTAATAGAAATGACACCCATTATGTTTTTTAGATCGGAGTCAGACATGGCCTAGAGTCAAACATTAGCATTTTATAAAATTATGCTCATACATTATTAAAACAAACATTATTTAGTTAAGAAAGAATTACTCTGCATCCTATTTACTAAAATATGAAATGTTTCAAAGCAAAGACCCCATATTATATAATTTCCTTATCACTGAATGGAAGCTTATCACTTGCCTACAAGATTTTAAATCTGGCTTAACTGTCTGTGATGGGGAAAAACCCATAATATGAAATCCAAAGCATGGCCATGATTAATGATGTTCATTGTTTATTGTGCTATTTACTTTAACTAAATCACACTGAACTAACATTGAAAAAGTCCATATAGGATTTAGCAGGGACAAATTTGTTTTATATTTGTAGCATAAATGACTTATTTTGTAATATCTTTTCTCAAAACACATTATTTGCTTTAAATCTTGTGTTCTACTCTAAAAACACACAATCTTGAATTTAACAACCCCAAATCAGAAAAATGTTGGGACAGTTTGGAAAACACAAATAAAAAAAGAAAGTATTGATTTCTAAATTAACTTTGACTTGTATTTCATTGCAATCAATATGGAGACAAAATATTTGGTGTTTTGTCAGGTCAACTTAATTTCATTTGTCAAAATACATCATTTCCTGTCATTCTGACCTGCAACACATTGCAAAAAAAGTTGGGACAGGAGCAAATTAGGGCTAGTTATCAGGTAAATTGGTTAAATATTCATGCAATTTGAAACCGGTGATGTCAACAGGTCATTGTTATTATGATTTGGCACAAACAAAAGCATCCAAGAAAGGTCTAATCCTTTAGGAGCAAAGATTGGCCAAAAATCGCTATTTTGCAAACAAATATGTGAGAAAATTATTGAAATGTTTAAAAACAATGTTCCTCAAAGAAAGACATGAAGACATTTTGATATTTCACCTTCAACAGTGCAGAATATGGTTAAAAGATTCAAGGAATCTCAAGTAATTTCAGAGTGTAAAGGACAAGAGCGCAAGCATTTAATGAAGTATTATGATCTCCGATCCCTCAGGCGGCGCTGCATCATGAATCATCATTCATCTGTAAGTGATATCAACACATGGACTCAGGACTACTTTGGCAAACATTTGCCAAGTACCACAATATGTAGTTATATTCATAAATGCCAGTTAAAACTGTACTGTGCCAAAAGGAGGCCCTATGTTAACAGTGTCCAGAAGCGCCATCGACTTCTCTGAGCTGTGAGCCATCTAGGATGGACCATCCCACAGTGGAAACGAAGACAACAAAGACCCACGAATAAAAACCAAGAGGAACACATTAAATAATATTTGTTGTAGTGTCTGCAATGAAATACAAGTCAAAGTAAAATTTATAAATCACTACTTTCTTTTTTTATTTGCGTTTTCCATCCCAACTTTTTCTGATTTGAGGTTGTATAATATCTTGGACTGTTAAATTATCAACCCTGGAAATTTAGTTTAATAACTGGTCTACAGTGTATAGTAGAACATAAGACATATTCCAAAATATAAAATTCTCAATGATAGATGCTGATAAACTAACTGCTTACCATACGGACAGAGTTGACGCTTGTGGTCAATCAACATTGCTTTTTTCCGGAGAAAATTATCCAAGTTGGGACCATGACGGCCGAGAGGGTCATCAGGTGGCATGAACCTGCACAAGATAAAGTAATTATGAGTAGATCATACAATACATTAAGATGATTGATTACTAAAAGTGTCCGTCTTGAAAAATAGTAGGGCTGGGCAGTATGTTAGTATGAATAAAAAATATACATATATAAAATAAATTGTCAACAGCAATAGATTTTTTTCTGTGTATATCAGGACATTTACATAAGTGGGCATGGCTAAATAGTGAGAAACACATGGTAATTCTAAAGTATTCTAGTTTATTTATCATAACCCTTATTGTTAATTTTTTCAGTATAAGCTCCCTTTTTAAATAACTATACTGTGAAATATATTGTTACCATGAGATAAAATGAATCACACCATGAAATGGAGTTTTTAGTCAGAATGCCTAGCCCTAATTTGCCATAATCTACTTTTTTCAAAGGAAAAAATATAGTAGAAAAGAGAACAAAATAAAGAACACGAGTATGAACTTAAGGGGAAAAATGCTTAAAAATCAATTACAGTTTATAAATTAAAGTCATTACAAAATTACATTAAAATTCTATTTAAATAATGACAAAATTCTTGCAAAAAAAACAGGAAAATATATTATGGTATAAGTAAATTTAGGGATATAGATTTACAAAGAAAATCAATTAAATTTTTAACAAAACAAGAATTTCTTTAAGTAGAGACAGATTCATAATAACCAAAGATCTTATCAGTAAAATGCCAAACCATAATAACCTACTTGTCATTGACAAAGGAGTACATGAGCAATCTCTCCTCGATGAACCGCTTCCACTCCGGACGTTCACTTTGCAGGTCACGGTACGTGTCATTAGACACGATAATGCCATCTAGATCATGAGCGAGCTTGACGATAAAACGATCATCGTAGCAGACCACACGCTTTCCTCCGACGCGTCGTGAAGGTGTAAACACTAGAAACTTCTTCCTTTCCAGCTCTCCCAAAATATGCTGATCTGGAAGAAAAGACAAACCCTTTTCATCGTCTTGAAAGACAACATGTATAATTCACTGATAGAATGACAAGACCATCAAAATAATGATTGAAATTAATTTTATAAATCAATGATTTAAACAGTAAATGCAGTATTGTGATTTGTTTTATAACCACGGTGTAAAGTTAAAATGATTTCATGATCGTTCTCAACTTAAAAATTGCAGTAATGTGATTTTTTTATCCACTGTTTAAAGCTGATTGTTATTGTTGTTCTCATTTTATGATCGTTCGTAACTTTACAAACAGTTAAATGATTAAAACATTGTGATTTTTAACCGCCATGTAAAGCTGAAGTGATTTTATGATCATCCTCAATGTTTTAAACAGTAAAATAATTATAATAGTGTTGTTTTTAACCACGGTGTAAAGTTGAAGTGATTTTATGATCATCCTTAATGTTTTAAACAGTTAAATAATTATAATAGTGTTGTTTTTAACCACGGTGTAAAGTTGAAGTGATTTTATGATCATCCTCAATGTTTTAAACAGTAAAATAATTATAATAGTGTTGTTTTTAACCACGGTGTAAAGCTGAAGTGATTTTATGATCATCCTCAATGCGGTGTAAAGTTGAAGTGATTTTATGATCATTCTCAACTTAAAAATTGCAGTAATGGGATTTTTTTTATCCACTGTGGAAAGCTTTTTGTTCTCATTTTATGACCCTTCTTAACTTTACAAACATTTAAATGATTAAAACATTGTGATTTTTAACCACCATGTAAAGCTGAAGTGATTTTATGATCATCCTCAATGTTTTAAACAGTAAAATAATTATAATAGTGTTGTTTTTAACCACGGTGTAAAGCTGAAGTGATTTTATGATCATCCTTAATGTTTTAAACAGTAAAATAATTATAATAGTGTTGTTTTTAACCACGGTGTAAAGTTGAAGTGATTTTATGATCATCCTTAATGTTTTAAACAGTAAAATAATTATAATAGTGTTGTTTTTAACCACGGTGTAAAGTTGAAGTGATTTTATGATCATTCTCAACTTAAAAATTGCAGTAATGTGATTTTTTTTATCCACTGTGAAAAGCTTTTTGTTCTCATTTTATGATCCTTCTTAACTTTACAAACAGTTAAATGATTAAAACATTGTGATTTATTAACCACCGTGTAAAGCTGAAATGATTTTATGACCATCCTCAATGTTTTAAACAGTAAAATAATTACAATTGTGTGTTTTTCAAACGACTGTGTAAATGTGACATGATTTTATGATCATCCCTAATGTTTTAAACAGTAAATAGTTGCATTATTGTGATTCTTTTTCACCACTGTGTAAAACTAAAACGATTTTATGATCATCCTCAACGTTTTGAACAGTAATAATTACAATGTTGTGATTTTTTTTAACCACTGTGTAAAGTCGAAATGATTTAGATCGTTCTCAACTTTCTAAATAGTTAAATTACAATATTGTGCTTTTTACCACTGTGTAAAGTTGAAATGATTTTATTACCATCCTCAACTCTTTAAACAGTAAAATAATTGCAATATTGTCATTTTTTAACCACTGTGTAAAGTTCATCGTGTTGTGTTTTTGATATTTCTTCTTGTGTGGTAACTAAACTGACAACATAAGTGCTCTATTGGACAAGAGTTGTAATAATTTATGTAATTAGAACAACTTAGCCTCAGGCCTTATTTATTTTTTAAGCTCAGACATGATGGTGTGAGGCTTTGGCTTGTGTTAACATCCACAGATAGCTAATCTCATTCATAATGTGTATTACATGGAATTTTGGACTTAGTTCAGCCCAAAAATGCTAATGTACACACCATTTACTAAGCCTCAAGTGGTTCCAAACCGGTTTAAGTTTCTTTCTTCTGTTACGCACAAAAGAGGATATTTCAGAGGATATTGGAAGCTAGCAGTCATTGACATCCATAAGAAATATAAATAAACCGTGAAAGTCAATAAGTGTTGCACAGTATTAGAAAAAAAAACATACATTGCGATCATACCCGTCAACATTGGGATGTGAAAATAAGGGATATGCCCACCATAATAAGGGATTCCCCCGACCCCCTTTAAAAAATCCCCAACTTACTAAATATGCTCATTTGGAGCTGTTTCATTGTAAATAAAAAGTTTAAATGTTCAGTAATGTTTTATTATTATTTACAAAAGAAAAAATAAGTATTATACATTAGCAGACAGTGCAGCTTATTAAAATTAATAGCTATTATAATGAAACAGAATCAAATCTCATTAGCCATTTCGTCATTGTATTACTTAAACATTCTGATTAAAGAGCAACGAATGAATGATTTATTCAGATTTTTTTCATTTGATTACATTAAATAACAGAGGTGTTTCTTTAAAAATGCACAGATCTAACGCTATAATGAAAGCCTTCGACAGCTTTCCTAACTGTTTATGCTCATTCAGGACGAAATTACTTGTGATTGAAAAAAAATAAAACACACACCAAGATCGACATCTTTAGATATTATTATTATTAATTATGTGTATATCTGTTTAAACAGGCACCAAAAAACTTTTGCTCCGCTTCAAATCACGAGTGCAGAATCCGTTTAGGAAACAGCGTCTGTTTATCACTATGGAGCGAGTCAGCTGACAATCATGGACCTCTATATGACTGTTTTGAGGATTGCATATGAAGGGCCGACGGAACCTGTAATGAAAAGAAAAGGAATGGCGCCGTTTTTATGTTTATTTCAAAGTGTTTCCGTGCCTGAACAAACAAAAGCACAGAACAGACTCGCATTTAAGAGGATGGGGTGTCCACTGGTGGTTCGGCGATATGGGTTGTGTGTAGGAAGGCTCGACTCTACTGTTTATTTGCCACCCTTCAGAGAAAGACTGAAAATACGGGAGAAATACTTTTACGGGACAGAACAGGAAAATACGGGAGAATCCTGGGGAAAACAGGAGGGTTGACAGGTATGATTGCGATATTTAAATTTTCAGCAGATAACTTGAATTAATTTATACTGATTGAGATGATTTTGTAGAATAGTGCATCTGCATAAAATGTCCAGTATTCAGGCACAGAAATCAAATGTACAATAAAGCTGTATATTCTTCATTTTATATAAAAAATAATACATCTTTGCTTTAAACTCACTTAAAATGTGTAGAGCAATACTGTTTTGTACTGTCATTATAGTTACCATGAGATTCCCGCTTTTTTAAAGAAAAATAAAATAGATATATAGAACCAGTAAATTTATTTTAATGTATGTTCCTGTAAGTAAACATCATAAATAATTGGAAATCCAGTGATCGCAATAATCAAATCCTTGGGAACAACTGTAGTCCTAAGAACCAAAGTTCATAAGACTATGTTCTCTGGAATCCTCTAACTGTTTGCCGCTGAACCGCGTCATAGCTCATTACAATAAAGCTGACTTGATTTCAACTCTTCTCGAAGCCCACACTGGTGAAAACGTGCCGCTCCTCACTGCATATTGACAGCGGCTCCCATCGAAATGACTTCTGGCTACTTTGACACTCTCGCCACTTTCGGTTTGAACAGAAAACAGCAGGAATAATGGTGTTTCCTTGCTTACAGCAGTAAACAAAGCAGCGTGATGTCAAATCAATTTCATAAACTACACAGCATCTCGATTAAATTCAGGCAAACTTTAGAATACAGCTATACTCAAATGTAATACCTTGCAATGCAGCCTTTAAATACGTTTTAAGGGCCTTCAATTTATGTAAATTGATTTATCAACTTTTAATAAATGAAGACCTCGTGAACACCTGCCAAGTATAAAAACTCCTTAAAACAAGCTCATGTCTGGACTTGAGTGTTTTAACGCTAGTAACACTTTACATTACGGTTGTATCCTCATTCATTCATTTTCCTTTGGCTTAGCCCATTATTTATCAGGGATCACCACAGTGGAATGAACCGCCCACTATTTCAGCATATGTTTCATGCAGCGTATGCCCTTCCAACTGCAGCCCAGAACTTGAAAGCAAGATTGCATTAGTTTATGTTATTTAAACACTTACTAACACGAACAAACAATAAACAACACATTTATTACAGTATTTGTTCACATTAGAAAATGAAAATACTGTAGTTCATGTTAACTCACGGTGAATTAACTTATGTTAACAAGTATGAATTTAATGCATGAGTAAATGTTGAACTATAATTACTGAATGCTTTACAAGTATTGTTCCTAGCTCATGTTAGTAAATATATTAACTACTGAAACCTTATTGTAAAGTGTGACCATTACCGATAAAAGAGAGAAAGGTCACCCCCCCCCCCAACCCATATATTAACTAACATGGTAAATGACTTTATTTAGTTAATGAACACCAGGGCATCATCTGTGAAACAGGAAAGGGTCAATGATAATCCCTCACACAGCGCTACTGTAGACTCCATTAAAGATTCACAGCTAATCTGGAGGCGATAAAGCTCTGGAACTTCCTGGTGGGGAATTCCCAGTGAAACCTGCAGGAAACGCAACTCTTCCTTATTCGCCTTGCTTTTGTTTTTGCTCTTTTTTTGCACGAATTGATTTGAGGAATCCGAGCAGGGGGCATTCACAAAAGAAGACAGACAGTGTGGGTAGAAACAAGTAAGATTATCTTCAACACCTCAGAGCTGACACACTGAACACTAATGTCTAAAAAAAATAATGTCTGTCTGTCTGTCTGTCTGTCTATCTATCTATCTACTTACCTACCTTTCTTTGTGTATGTATGTCTGTCTGCCTTTCTGTCTGTCTATATCTATCTATCTATCTATCTATCTATCTATCTATCTATCTATCTATCTATCTATCTATCTATCTATCTATCTATCTATCTATCTATCTATCTATCTATCTATCTATCTATCTATATAAACTATTGTAAAACATTAATTCTTAAATGCTATTACAATTTAAAACACCTGCTACTATTTACTTGGGAGTATCTTTCATTCATTTGATGCAAATCTTAATTTCCGGCATCGTTACTCCAGTCTTCAGTGTCACACGACCATTGAGAAACCATTGGAATATACTCATGTATACATACAATATTAGGAACTACAATATACATTTCATTCTTAAATGAACAGAAGATTGAACAGTAACTGTTTTATAAACAGTCTTTCCAATGAATAGTGAATGAAATTAGACTACTTGATTACTGCAGGAAAAGTTTTTCTTTTGGTACAGTTGCTTATACTTGCATCAACAGTTCTGTATAAATCAATTCAAAGTATTGTTTTTTTTAATTGTACAAATATATTTTGCAAGGTAATATATATATATATATATATATATATATATATATATATATATATATATATTAGAAAGGTAATTTGAATACAAATTGTATCAGGGCTGGAGTGGGACTCCTTTTCAGCCTTGGAGTTTCAAGCATTAGACCGGCCCACCTCAGTTCACGACTGACTATATTAAAATAAGGTCATTTTCAATTTTCAGTTTCTAATTACACAATCACGTCTTTTTCAAGAAAACAGCTGCTTTAGAACTTCAAATGTTCAACTACCTTACAATTTTATATGTCTTAACAAATAAAAAATAAAAAAAAGGAATTACTCAGGTGAGGATCGAACACGGATCGACGACGCCGTAACGCAACGTGCTGACCACTATAGTGATAGTTACATCATCATTAACCTACAGGCTGCATTTTGCTCATGGGGCTGCGAGACAATAAATAAGCGGAGCTGCGGCAAAATGATGAATAAAAAGAGTGAGGCTATGGTCAAATAAATAAATAAATAAATGAAAAAAAAAGTGCGACTGCTGAGAGTGCAAGCAGCTAGAAACCCCGGCCCTCGCGGCCAAAATAACAGACCGGCCCACCGGGAACTCTTCAGGTACTCCCATTTGGCCAATCCGGGTCTGATTTGTATTCATCATTTGTTTAATGATGCAATGAATTACTCTTTTGAAGTACATCTTTCCCAAGACTGATCGCAGACTAATAAAATCTTTCTGAATTGTGTATGTGACTACGTGCAAGTATGCTCACTGGAAATGTTACAAAAATGCTTTTCTTTTTTTACTGTATTTGAGTCAGTGTAGTCAGACGGGCGTTTTCTCCTCTCAGATCTCAGAACCGGTCTCTGATGACTCATTTTTTTTTTTTACCAAAAGTGTTGAGGGAGTGTCTCTACCTGAAATAGGTACATCAGGCCGGGGCTGCTCTTTTCTCCAGGAAGGCACAAACACGGTGATATTTCGGTGCCCTCGGTCAAGGAAATAGTTGACTGCCAGCTCAATCCCTCTGCACGAAAACACTTCCTTGTTCCCATGACTAAAAACGAACAAGAGAGACAGTAAAAGAGAGAGGTTTACATTAGTGTGGTAAATGAGTATGCTTAAATGCGCATGTCGAAAACTGCTGCTCTGTACTGACATGTTTGTAGCACCTTTGTTGCTTAAATATTTTTGCAGCTAAACTAAAGTTTAGAAAAACTTGAAGGGGTGAGTTTGTTAAAACCAAAGGAAGAGGCCAAGGCAAAAGTGGTGGGTTTAAGACATAATTAAAGATGATGTTTTTCCACTATTCATAGGTTTTATTGAATTTGTAAGAGCTGTCACAGAATTATTGCCACAGCACGAGAAAATACAACAACCAGTGCCTAAAAAAGCACCACAGGTGTCTATATGAGGAGCGTCTTGCTAAAATAAGTCAACTAAAAGTTGACAATGACACTCAATCTAGGAACAAGCAACAGCAGAGTACAATTTCAGAGTTGTTTACTGATATAAGTTAATATAACTAACACTCACAGCATTTTAACAATTCAATTCAGATAATTGAGATGAAGCTTGACTGCAAAGTTTGATTGCAAATCAAATCGAAAACACAATATCTGCCGAAATAAATAAATAAATAAATGATTAGATATTTTCCACAATTGGCACAGCCCTACTATGAGGGCAAAAATTTTATAATTGTTAACTAATGGTAATCTAGCTAAAAAGTTCAAATAATCGAGATTTTGATTTAGGCCAAATCGCCCAGCCCTAATTCTTCATTTGAATAAATGGAATAAACCAAACTAACTCGAAGAAACCAGCTGATAACCATGTCGATGAAAGTATTGATAACAGATTCTTAGATCTTTACGAATTCTTTTAGATCAATAATCAAAACTCGATAGTTTAATCCGTCATAGATGTCTAAACATTGTAACGGCTTACAGCAATAACGCCGCCTTTCCACTGCACACGACATTTGGACACGACTGTCGGAATTCTCCCATTTGTGACAGTCGCACAGAACTTTCAGTTCTGACGTGCAGCATGGGAGAGAAGCTGTTCTCGCAGTGTCCGAAATAAATCAGTGCAAAAGCAATAGCTATTATTCTCTGTGCGTTCACCATGGTTAAATGAATGAATGAATACTAGAAACTCATAGACCGCTAAAAATATTGAGGGGAATGTGAAGACAACATTAAAAACAATCTATTTTATTACTCTATTACTTGTGAATTATGAATAGAAATGTTTTTGTTTTTTAATATAGACTTTTTCTGATTAAAAAAATAACCAAAACAACTACTATTTCTTATCTTGCGCACATGGACCTGCTTGAACAACACTGCAATACATCATATCCGGTCGCATACGGTCTAATTCGGTCAGATCCGAATTTTCTTCTTCCAAAGCTTCCGGACTACTCTTTGTTGGAAATGAATGACTTCCGGTCTGTCGCTTGTCGTGTGCAATGGAAAGGAGGCTTAAGGCTAAAACACAACCTGATTTGCATAATCACAAATTGCGATAACCTCAAGACAGCTGGAATGCAACGTTCAGCTGCTGAAGGATGCCTGTCAAGAGAGGTTTTGGTACAACAGGTAGAAAAAACAAACAAACTGAACATGAAGAGCGACAGAAATGAGGAAAGACTTCATCCAAAAGAACATGACAATTTCCATTACACCATATGTTGTCACACATACCAAAACATCAAAAGTCTGTCAAACACAAATGTTGATCTCTCTTTGATTGGATCTACTAAACAAAAAACAAAAAAAGAAAAAGATAAGTCTTTCGCAGAATTTCCCTCGGTGACCTTTGCAGAATGAATGCATGACCAAAAATGTTGCTAGTTGTGTCGAGCATCGAGCGGCTAAAAGGCGAAAAGGGTTAAAACACTACATATTGTTTGCATATTGGTGAACGGAGACACATGCAGACAAAGGGGGAAGTACGAACCCTTTCAGAAGAAGCAGGTTTACGAATAAAGCCCAAAGGCAATGTGAGCAATTCAATATGGGAAGTGGTAACTCGTGTCATGCTACTTAGTACTTTCTGAACTGAATTATTAAACAACCGGTGTGTCAAGACATTGGGGACATTCAAATCATTGTTTAGATATTTCATTTAAAAAATGCATATGGTTAAAGGCTACAGTATATGGTTTTCATTTTGGGAAAGGTTTGTTTGGTTTGCAGAAATCCTCTTTTGTATTCGCAACTTGTTGATACTTGTTAATCTGACTTGCTATTTCCGAATAATTGGATTCAAAAATAGATTTTCAGGTCACGGTTTATATGAGGTGGCCTTAAAGAGACAGTTCACACACAAATGAAAATTTGGTCATGGATAGTTTATTCATCCTCAAATTGTCCAAAACTATTTTTGATTAGTAGTATAGATTGCTAAGAGTTTAATTCACACACTTTACAGGCAATTCTTTTTATTATTTTGATCATTTAAACCCTCATGATCCGGATTTTCAAATAGTTGCATCTCAGTCAAATATTATCTATCAACACAAAGCTCTGTCATTAAGTTCAGATGATGCATATAAATGATGCATTCAGAAAAATGATCATGGTGTTGTGTTCCATCCTCCATTTGCTCCAAACTCCGTTGAGTTTCTTTCTTCTGTTGTTGTTGGTGTTGTTAACACTATGGCTGCTTCTTCCCCAACATTCTTGTTTTGTGTACATTTGTTGTGATATTTATAAATGTTTAGAGTAAATGCTGAGGGAAATGCCCATTTCTGAGTAAACCGTCCCTTTAAGAAGTAGGTACTAGCATTGAATACCTACAAGACTATGTTCTTAATGTGTAACTACATGCTATTCTAGTGTTAGGGATTTTGATGGATAAGGTTTATTTTTTGGGCAAGGGCTATATTATGCTCAAGGGTTAAAGTTAAGAGTGTGACTACAAAAGTAAATTAAGGGTTTCTGCAGGTTTCATCAAGTCAAATTGAATACTTTTAAGACCCATTTAAGACCATTATGAATGACATTTTAGACTTATATGGGGCTAAACACTAAGGATGTTTTGTAATGGCCTGGTTGGACCAATGGACTGAATGGAGTTATTTCTTAACTACATATTTTAATGTGTCAAAATAAGAAAACTCCAAAAAAAACAAAAAAAAAACAAAAAACTTGTAATGCAAGGTTTAATCTCTGACGGAGGAATTTGGCATTTGTTCTGCATATGCAATGAATAACACGTAATGAAGTTGTAAATAACATTCAGTTTGTGGCACTCAGTGATTGTTTGGGAGCCGCGCGGGAAGGGAGACGCTCTTAGCAGTGAAAATGAAACCGAAAGCGCACACAGCCACATGTAGCTGACTGATTCCAGCCCAAAAAGTATCCCAAACCTGCCGAAATGCAAAAATTAGCATTTTAATCAACAGTACAGCTACACAAAGCCTATTGCTGTTTACCATATGTTTGTGAATAACAATAATAATATCCCACTCATAGAGCTGCACGATTCTGGCTAAAATGAGAATCGCAATTTTTTTTGCTTAAAATAAAGATCACGATTTTCTCAAGATTCTCTAGATGTAAAATAAAGGTATGGTAAAAACAAACATGTGGCGACATCGATAATAATAGTTTGTTGTAGGTCTACTGGTTTCTATAAATAATTCTATTCTACTTATAATAATTCTGATGTGGAATTATTATGTTTGAGATATATGCTTGCAATCTGTCATATTAGACAACTTTATTAACTGGTAAAATCAGACATTTGCCATTATCAGATTATATTCAACATTACATAGGCTAGAGTAGTTTTATTATAGTAGTAACATTTATTTTCATGCAAAACTGTGGGTTCGCTATGAAAGAAAAAAACATATCAAATACTTGTTATTTATATCAAATAACTCTAAAATGCGATATGATTATTTAAATGATGTGCACACTTTAATTTTGACTGCTAAGTACTGTTAATACTTCCCGCACGGCTCCCGATCACTCAGTGCCACAAACTGAATATTATTTACAACTGTATTAAGCCTGGTTTATACTTCTGCGTCAAGTGACCGGCGTAACTCACGGCGCATGCAATTCGCGTGGCTGTGCATTTAAACTTCTGCGCGCTGTCTCTGTTGGTCTGCATTAACACTTCCGAAACGCTAGTTGGCAGTAAAGTGTTAATGTTCCTCTGTGTCAAGTTTCTTCTCTGCTTTTTTGTTTTTCCTGAACACTTCCGGGATGTACAAGTGGCTCAAACTCGCTCATTTTGAGGCAGGAACCGGCGGACGTGCAACAACTTTAACTATGAGGTAAACACAAAACAAAACTTTCCATCCGGAGCTCCTTCACGGGACTCCAGACTTGTAAACAATCGCTCCATCAGGCTCACGCCATTCACTCGGCTCTCTGTCCCGCCCAGGCTTGTCAGCGCTACCAAGCCGACCAATCACAGAGCTTACGCTACGCGTCGTTGCGACGTGTAGTTACATTTTTTGAGAGGTGCACGTCAGCGACGCCGACGGCCACGGCGAAGGGCTATGCGTCAGCACCGTAGCAAACGTCGGTGTTTGACGCAGAAGTATAAATCAGCCTTTACCTGTTACTCGCAACATATGCAGGTCCTGTTTCCTAAAGTGCACGTGCGCACGTCTATCATTAGGTAGAGCGCACGGGCGCGCGCCTTTTCTGCTCACTGTCAGCAGCTTACTTGTGTGATTTCCCGGCCACGAAAACATAATTGTATGAAGACAAAAATGACATTTTTAGGTGAAGTATACCTTATGAATACAGTATGTGACTCATTCAACATCATTTGGAGGTGTTAATGTCGCTGAGCAATGTATGTGAAACAATGAAAAGACTCAACGTCGGCCGCCTTTTCTTCTCTCCTGAACTTGAAAATATGATTGACAGAATCGTAGAAAAGCAGAATTAAGATCGTCTAGGGGGTCGAATTGAGATTGCGATCTTTTATTGTTTAATGTGCGGCTCTACCCACTCATATTAACCTTTACTTTAGATCTACAGAATCATGATCTTATTATTTTAGGCAAAAAAAATGCGATTTTAGCCAGAATGGTGCAGCTCTAGGTACAGTGTTGCATTTATTAATTTATTTAATGTCATATTCATGTTTAAAAACTCATATCGTCTAATATTATCCAACAGAAAACCAAAGTGAAAGGGTTTACATTCTGTTCACAACCAGAGCTCATTGTCCTGAATTTCCCTTTGTGACTTGTTCATACTTGTTAAACCAACAGAGATGATTATGCAAACACTCTTTCCGATAATCCTCTTTCTAAGAAAAGACTAAAAAAAAAAAATAAAGTCTTTACCTCATAGCCACATTGCTGCCATCAATAACTATAGGCTTCAGGTCACTTTCAGCTTCAGTGGCGTCATCCAACGTAGATCCCTGTCCTCTAGATGAGCCCCCTCCCCGATGGGATGATCCTGAGCCCCCATCATCACTATTAGAAACAGAAGGGGGGACAGCCTTCGCCCCTGAACGAACCAGCTCCCCCAGAACCGCATTAGTGTCCGTCCCTAGGCCGAGCTTCCTCAAAGCAGCTTTCACTTCTTGCGGAGAGTAACCCAGCTTTCGGAAGAAGTCCACCTTCATCTGCAGGTTGAGGAGGTCGTGTGAGTCCTGGCCCAGGCCTGTGGGTTGATGGAAACACCTGGACTGCATATTGATGCCGGATGGATGTGTGATGTTTTGGGGGTTATCAGTGCATGAGCTTCTGCGTGGTCCATATGCTGCTCTGACATGCTGTTCCCGTCTGTGAAAAAGACTGAAATACAAACGCATTCTTCAAACGTGCGCCACATCACAGAAGCATGTTCAATCCTAAATTTGGCCTGGTCTTTTGACAGCAGGGCTTGACATTAACGTTTTTGACCACCAGTCACTGTGGCTAGTATCACTATCCATCGCATTTCATTCATCCTTTCATTTTCTTTTCAGTTTTTTATCAGTATAATTTTGCACAGAATTAACACCCACATGCAATAAATCAACCAGGACACATTCAAATGTATAGAGAAAAACTAAATCTGCATTACAGATTTAGCCTGAACCGCCTGTTGATCTTCGACCCCTATTTATTTTTGACTTTACATAAGTTAATTATCCACTCCACAATTTCATTCATTTATTTTTCTTCTACTTCCTCCAACAACAGAGAACAATTTGAGCAATGACATGCATGTTTCCTTGTAAAACGTCCTTATGTAACTCGTTTTCATTTACAATTAACATTAGAATCAAGTCATACAGCATTTTAAAGACCTTTTCAGGGGATACACACATTTTCGGGTTGATTCCCCTTTGATTTTGATAATGATTTGCAATATAACCAGAACTGTGAATTGCATATTTAGGAGTGTGTCATGTGTACGCCAGTGAAAATGGTCCAGAAAATGAAAAATACACACAGCTTTGACTTACTTTTTTGCTAAAAATTGCTATTTCCAGTCATAAAATTAGGTGGTGCTGACTAGTACTAACTAACCTTAGTAATTAGTAACCCAAACAAGTCTTTTTTTATTTAAAGTGTACATAATCTAGAAATTATCAACATTTATTAATGTGTCTGTTTTTTTATTGAGGTAAAGTTGGTTTTATATTCGCACATTCATTATTTTAACGATTTCAATATTGTTCACCATGCTAATTTGACTACTGGGTCTGAAATAGCATAGAAATTTGACTTCAACACAACTTTATCACTATTTGATTGACTGAACAGTGCTGTAGTTTGTTAGTCATTGGCTGCTAATATGATTCCTTATTTAGAATTTGCAAATAATTATTTTTATAAATTGTATTATTACAGATAAAGTCAGAATGTGTGAATATAAAACCAACTTATACCTCAATCTTCTCGGATTAAATGTAGGTTGTGTGTGACTGACATCTGTGTATAGTTCAATAGTGAAATTTAAACAGACTGGAAATGACTTTTAATCCTCTCCAATGTTTGAAAATGAGTTGTGTTTGTTTCCCCTTTGATTTAAAGCTCTAATATTTAATTTTACTACACTTATTGTTGATGAATTCATATTTTAGCCATTTTTTATGTGAAATGTGAACTTTTCTATTAACAAACAGCAAAATCAGCATATGTTTATCTAAATAGTTTTACATTCCAGGTTTAATGGTTAAAAAATATTAAGAAATTACTCAAAATTGCAATGATTTACCCTTAAATCCAGTGAAACACAGCTTTGACTTTCAAATTTATATTTCATAAAATTAGGTGGTGTTGACTAGTACTTACTAACCTTAGTAATTAGTAACCCGGACAAGTCTTTTTATTTAAAGTGTAACTACATAATCTAGAAATTAACAACATTTATTAATGTGTCTGTGATATAATCACTTTTTATTGAGAAAAAGTTAAGTTTTATATTCTCACATTATTTCATTTAAACTATTCCAATATTGTTTACCATGGTAATTTGACTACTGGGTCTGAAATTGCATAGAAGTATAACTTCAAAACAACATTATCACTATTTGATTGACTGAACACTGCTGTAGTTTGATAGGGGAATTAAATTAGCAGCCAATGACTATTTAGAATTTGCAAATAATTATTTTTAGAAATTGTATTGTTATGGATGAAGTCAAGAATGTGTGAATATAAAACCAACTTATACCTCAACCTTACCTCAATTATTGTTCATGAATTCATATTTTAGGCATTTGTTTATGTGAAATGTGAACTTTTCTATTAACAAACAGCAGAAGCACCATTTGTTTATCTAGATAGTTTAAAATTCCAAGTGTCATAGTTAAAATATATCAAGAAATTACTGAAAATTGCACTGATTAACCCTTAGTTCATGGTCCAGTAACTAAATACAGTACAGTAGCGTATAACGTTAAACTTATAGACACAGAGATATAACACTAACATACATACTGTACACTTACAAAGTCGTCATAGAGATAAAAATATCTGATAAATGTCTCATAAAAAAGTTGTCTACGTTCGCACGGCCCTAAGAAACCCGGACTAAACAGGTTAAACACCATTTCGCCAGTTTAGTGAAATACAAGAGGACGTCACAAGCATTTGTAGTCACTGAGGTAACATTAATACATCGTAAGTTAACGTTGATGTAAATTATGACTAGCTTTTCCAGCTGTTCCATAAAAAACGCCGGTTATAAATCAGACCTACCATATTCTCCAAATGATGAGTCCAGACTGTGAGGCAAGAAAGTGTTTTAGCAACACCTTTACACCTCGAGTACTTCCTGTTAAGGTGACGGAGGTCGGAGCCAGCTCCAAGTGGGTGGGACTTCAAAATGGGCTGTGCAAACCTGGAGGTTATTCCAAGACATACCAAATAAAAATTTGTTTTATACTAATTTTACTAACAGTACTTTAAACTAAAATAGTTTTATATTCGTATTAAAGTAATGATCTTGAATTGTAAAAATATGCCACATAAAAAAAACACACAGGAGTAGAGTACATTCATTAGTGGTTCCTGTAGCATTCTTTAACAAACAGACATAAATATATGGAGCAATAATACACTAAGATACACTTTACTGTAGTATGGTTAAAAACACTAAAGTATTTTTGTAATGTATAGGCTACTACACTTACCGGCCACTTTATTAGGTACACTTTATTGCTAGTACTAGGTTAACCCCCCTTTTAGCTTCAGAACTGCCTTAATCCTTTGTGGCACAGATTCAACAAGGTACTGGAAATATTCCTCAGAGATTTTGCTAGAAAATGACGTGATAGCATCAAGCAGTTCCTGCAGGTTTGTTGGCTGCACATCCATGATGTGAATCTCCCGTTCCACCACATGCCAAAGGTGCTCTATTGGATTGAATACTGGTGACTGTGGAGGCCATTTGAGTACAGTGAACTCATTGTCATGTTCAAGAAACCAGTCTGAGATGATTCACGCTTTATGACATGGTGTGTTATCCTGCTGGAAGTAGCCATCTAAAGATGGCGACACTGTGGCCATAAATGGATGGACATGGTCAGCACCAATACTCAAGTAGCCGAAAAGAAAATGAATGTTTATATTCAGATGGGATAAACTGTAATCAAATAATTAATACAAAAAAAACAAAAAAAAGCAAGATCAATCAATCAATTTTTGCTAAAACAATAAAAAGGTTCCTATAAGAAAAGGTTCTTTGGGGAGCAAATAATTACCCTATTGGAACCTTCATGTCTAAGAGTTTATCTTGTTCAAAACAAATTCTATGATACATGTTACGATTGACCGGGTGGATCACAGTGTCACAGATACCGCTGGTGAAAGTGAAGAGTGATTTATTTTACACAAAGTGAAAACAAAAATCCAGCAAAAAGGTGAAAGCGACAAAATAACAATAAAGAAAAATAAACTATTCAATATTTACAATATATATATACAGGTTTGTTCAGCTAAATCAAGGAAATGACCTGAACAAAATCTGTTGCAAATACTGACCCAAACACAACCTTTTCCTACAACTGCCCACATCAAGTGAATGTTTGGGGCCATTTTATAGTATTGGCCCCGCCCATGGGTCCAACAATTTTACTGGTAGTAGGTTGACATGTAGACAAAAAAAATACATAAAAAGACATTCAACAAAAGTATAAATTAATGCAAGTAAATGAATATGCATACAAAACTCAAAATACAACACAACAAATAACCAATACAGATTTAAAAAACAAAACTGTGATTTTTAATTACTGACCAGGGGGTTGTGACCCTGATGATGTCATGGAAAAAGGCTGCTCCAAAGTGAAGGCGGGAAAAATCTGTATAAATGGCTTAGTTTGAAAGTTAAACAGGTTTGGTGCTGAGAAATGGAAACTTGTAAGTATATGTAAACTCCGTATGTTTGGTGAATAAATTATGTTTAAAAGAAAATGTGTCTGTGGTTATTTCAGTGTTGGTATGGGCTATTGTTTGACATAAAAGTGAAATTTTTACATAAACACAATGCTAATCTTGACAGAAAAAAACAACATATACACATTACACAAACACACACATGCACAATACAAATAACACAAAGGTCCATGTTTAAAAGTAAGTATTTTATGTATGAGTGCAATGTGATGTGTGTTTGTTAGTCACAGTGTCTTTAGTTTTACACTGTGACAATACAATCAAAAAATGTTTTGCATTGAAGGACCTTTCAGTGAACAAAACAGAATAGTTCCTCCTGTGTGAATATCATGTTAAACTAAAAGCCTTTCATAAAGAAGAGCCTTTTGTGTTTGTACGTTAAAAGTTCTTTATGGATCCACTGATGCCAATAAGGAAGCTTTATTTCTATATTACGACAGACCTGTTGTCATATTTTATGATTAGGGCATAATGCTTTTTATGAAAGCAACTGTAGTCGATATTATGAAACTGAGACGGTGATATGCGTCAGAATACAGTAAGAATGATTAAACGATTATTTCTATTGCATGTGATTTCCCACGGTCCGAGACCAGGAAACGAAGATTATCTTCATCATACTGTTTCTATTGTCTTTGAGAGTGTACTGTAATTCTTATTTGCATGTAGTACAGTATGTAAAATATGTATTTATCAGGGTGAACAAGAGCTTGTGACAATGCCTGTCAAGTAAAACAAACACAACATGTAGGTTAAAAAAAAAAAAGAGTTGCAGCAAACTAAACCACACACATGCAATAAAGAATAAACGTCTAACATCATTTGCTTTGAATATACGGAGCAGACTTGAAATTTAAAACACTTTTAAAATGAGTACACCTGAAGTAAAAGTACAGGTATTTTACAGTGAAAATCACTCTGTTATATCAATATAATATCTTAAAGTCTCACAGTGTCTTATTATGAAAGTACTTAAGTCTTTAAAATTCTGAACACTTGAGTGTGAGCAAACTTGATATGTGTTGTGTGTTCACGTTTGTGTTGTGTTCATGTTTGTGCGGGTCAGTGTGTGTTGTATATACATGTTTGTATGCGTCAGTATATGTTTGTTTTACGATATGTGTGAGGTTATAATGTGTGTTTATTATTATGATGTGTGTGTGTGTTTCCTCCACAAACCGCAGGTTAATGGTGTGTCCTGAGGGCAGTTCCGGACTCTGCAGAAAGCAATCAGTGTGTGTTTGCCAGTCGGCTGCTTTCTCTCGGGTCCTGTGTCAGTGGGCACAGGTGTCTCCTGTGCTGACATTACAGCAGGCCAATGAGCTACAGCAAACAGAGATGAGTTTGTCCACTGACCCCCGGCCGGCACACAGACCACCCTGACCATAGTCTCCCTCTGAGAAACACAGCTTAACCTGGAACACAAACATTATGGAAGAGGCTCATTGTGAATATGTACCCCCATATACATTTCTGGAGAGCGCAAATTATGTAGTCAGAGCTACATTTGGCTGCTTTTCGTCTTTAAAATAAACATATGACGCCGCAGAGGGCGTCTGTTTTTTTTTTTTTTTTGCGCTTACCAGCTAACTAATTACCTCAGTGTGGACAGCTTTAATGCTGTGACCAGTTTGCCCAGTGGCTCCCTGCATACAACAGTGGACTTGAGACGCGGAGAGGAGTTGAACGCGATGACGGGGTTAGAGTCCGTCGAAGATCGGCTTCAGAAAGCAGGTAAGACAAAAACAAAGGCAAAACAATTAAATAAACAAGTAAATAACAGGGTGAGAGTGTGGTAAAATCTGCAAACGTGGTAAATATCAGGCTTCCGCGTGAGGTTTACTTTTTCTGGATTGCTGAAAACATTCTCGGTTGGGTTAAGGGGACAGGGTGATCGGTTCAATCTGTGCTTTTGAAAACACTATTGGTTGGGTTTACGGAATAGGGTAGGTGAGGTGTTTGGTTGGTCAGTCAGTCAGTCGACAGCAGCCTCTGGTGAACAGCTGGCCTGAATGGCACTCATGAGAGAAATTTGAGATCTCAATAGGTGTACACAGCGGCCTCTGGTGGATTCACGAAAACAAAAACTGCAAAAAAACAAAACAAAAACTTACCTTCTGGAAAGTATGCCATGATCTCCAGAAATGTATATTGACCTTATTCTAAAATGCGGAAGTGCGCCTGTTTTCGCGATTGTCTTAGAACTTCCGATTCAGTCGCCTATGGGAGAAATGACTAGGAATAATAAACGGCAGAAAACAGTCAAACTACTTGCTCTACAAACAAATGTTTGCATGACTATACAGACCAAGTAGAATAATATAATAAGGAAATGTCAAATTGCAACATCAAGCAACGTAATGAGCAGTTTTTAATGTCTAAAAATGAATGGAAGTGAATGAGACCGGAAGTCTCGAGCCAAAAAGATTCAAATGGCAGCCCCCGCTCATCGGCGGAGAATAAGGTCAATAGGATGTACGTAGTGAGAATGAGCCTGGGTTGACCTCATCTTACTATAATTGTGAATGTGATACTTAATTCATCTCGTTGTTTATATCTTAATCTCAGGTAACTCGTTTTAGCTGAGTGCAAAGATAAGGTAATATATTAATTTATGTAATCACGTATACACTCGTTCTGACTGATTGTTTGCATTTATTGTACACATTTATTGTACGTTTCACTTTTATAATGGCCATTATTGATTATTAAAACTGATATTCAGCATAAGAGAGGGTATGTTTCATTCATTCATTCATTTTCTTGTCGGCTTAGTCCCTTTATTAATCCGGGGTCGCCACAGCGGAATGAACCGCCAACTTATCCAGCAAGTTTTTACGCAGCGAATGCCCTTCCAGCCGAAACCCATCTCTGGGAAACATCCACACACACATTCACACACACTATGGACAATTTAGTCTACCCAATTCACCTGTACTGCATGCCTTTGGACTGTGGGGGAAACCGGAGCACACGGAGGAAACCCACACGAAGGCAGGGAGAACATGCAAACTCCACACAGAAACGCCAACTGAGCCGAGGTTCAAACCAGCGACCTTCTTGCTGTGAGGCGACACCACTACCTACTGCACCACTGCCTCGCCGGCAATGTTTCATATTTTACAATAAAAATTAATGCATACAGTGAAGAGAACGGTCATATAAATATGTGCAGTTTGTGTTATGTTTATTATGTAATATAGGCTGAGTGAATGTACTAAATAAGCTAAATTGGCCGTAGTGTGTGTGTGTGTTTCCCAGTACTGGGTTACAGCTGAAAAGGCATCCACTGTGTAAACCATATGTCCGAATAGTTGTCGGCTGGCGGTAGCTGTCCTGACATTTTATCCTACCCGTCAGATTATGCTAACCAACACTGTATTTGAATGGTTATGAGGTTGGGGT